CATGTGCAATAATTGTATGAGTTATGAATTAGAACTTGAGTTTGGTTCTAAAATTTTATATGATGTTTAGTTTGTTATTTTATTTTGAATGAACTTGAAGGGCTTGAGCCTGATTTTCCAATAATTTTTAATCAATGTGAAATTTGATGTATTCCCTACAGCCCTGTATTCTCATCACATGAATTTCCTTCTACTATTCCCAGTTACGCAGCTGTTTCAAGAACAAAGACAACAACAATATCAATTTTCAATTACACTGCACCTTTTACATAATTACATGCCCCAAGGTACTTTATAGACTGTTAAGGAACAAATTTTGATACCCATATAAGGAGTCAGTAGACCAGAAAAACAAAAGCTTGGTATAAGAGATAAATTTTAAGTATTAAAGAATGAAAGAGAGGAAGAGATGCAAAGACACATTTCAAGGGAGTTCCTGAGCATAAAGTTTTGACAGCTTATGGCACAACCACATTGATAGAGAGATTAAAATCAAGGAATGCTTCAGAATCCAGAACTGGGAAAGTCAGTGGTGTAGTGGCAATGTCATGGACTAGTTATCCAGAACTCCAGGCTAAAGTTCTGGGCACAAAGGAGTCATAGAATCATACAGCATGGAAACAGACCCTTCAGTCCATGTTGACCATAATCCCAAACTAAACTAGTTCCACCTGCTTGTGTTTGGTCTATATCCCTCCAAACATTTCTTATTCATGTACTTATCCAAATGTTTTTTAAACGTTGTAACTGTACGAGCATCCACCACTTCCTCTGGAAGTTCATTCCAATCACGGACCACTGTGTGAATCTCATTGTGGCTGGTTGTGAAAACTAAATTCAACAAATATAAATCTAGATTTTTAAAAACTGTCTAGCCTAATAGCATCTGCATAACCACTGATGATTATTGTAAACACTCCACTCCCCAAAAAACTAAAGAACTGCAGATGCTGGAAATCAGAAATGAAAACATAAATTGCTGAAGAAACACAGCAGGTTGTGCAGTGTCTGTGAAGAGAGAAGCAGAGTTATTGTTTCGGGTCCAGTGACCCTTCTTCAGTATGATTTTGTCTAAAAGCCTAACTGGTTCATCATAGTCCTTTTTGAAAGGAAATCTGTTGCCGTTGCCTGGTTTAGCCTTCATGTGACTTCAGACCCACAGCAATATAGTTGACTCTTGACTATCTTCAGGACAATAATGCCCAAATTTCGTGAATGAATAAAAAGTATTTAGAGGAGTGGCAATTGTAGGGCTGAATGGAGTTGGCAGGTGGATGGGTGGTGTGCGGTGGGAAGGAGTACAAGTTTGAAGATTTGATTGAGAATCTTAAAATCAATGATGTGCATATATGGAGAAGAAAGTTTGTCTAAGGGTCGAAAATATTATGGACATTCTGGCATAACACTGACTGGGACCAAATGTAAATGGAGAACACGGGGGAGATGGATAAACAGAATACAGCAGGAGTTAGGATGCAGAGTTATTCATTACTCAGATGGAGTTTAATTTAGATAACATGAAGTATATTTTGGTAAGGCAAATCAAAACAGGACTTATACAGTTAACGGCAGGGCTCTGGGGTGTGTTGCCAAACCAAGAGTCGTAGGGCTACAGGTGCACAGTTCCTTGAAAGTGGAGTCGTAGGTAGACAGAGTGGTGAAGAAGACATTTGACATGCTTAGAGATAGTAGGAACTGCCAATGCTGGAGAATCTGAGATAACAAGGTGTAGAGCTGGATGAATACAGCAGGCCAGGCAGCATCAGAGGAGAAGGAAAGCTGATGTTTCGGGTGTGGACCCTTCTTCAGGAATGGGACACACTTGCCTTCGTTGATCAGAACATTGAGAATAGGAGTTGGGATGTCATGTTGTGGCTGCACAGGACATTGGTGAGGCCACTTTTAGAATACTGCGTATAATTCTGGTTGCCCTTCCAAAGGAAGGATATTGTTAAACTTGAGAGGGTGCAGAAAAGACTTACAAGGATGTTGTCAGCAGGAGACGCTGAATAGTTTGGGGCTTTTTTCCTTGAATTTTCGGAGGCTGAGGGGTGACATTAAAGAGATTTATAAAATCATGAGGGGCATGGATAGAGTGAATAGCCAAGGTCTTTTTCTTAGGGTGGGGGAGTCCAAAATTAGAGGGTATAGGTTTAAGGTGAGAGGGGTACCCAAAGGATAACTTTCTCACGCAGAGGATGGTGCGTATATAGAATGAACTGCCAGAGGAAGGGGTGGAGGTGGTTACAATTACAACATTTAAAAGGCATCTGGATCAGTACATGAATAGGAAGGGTTTAGACGGTTGTGGGCCAAATACTGGAAAATGGGACTAGGTCAGGTTGGGATGTCTGGTCGGTGCGTTTGAGTTGTACTAAAAGGTCTGTTTCTGTGCTGTATGACTCTGTGTGGAGGGTTGAATGTAGAACTGGCCAGGAGCAATTCTGAAGAAGGGTCACTGGACCTGAAACGTTAACTCTGCTTTCTCTCCACAGATGCTAGCAGACCTGCTGAGTTTTCCCAACATTTTCTGTTTTTGCACCAAATGAATATTAAGGTTTAGTACCATTCCCCTGCCTTTTCCCCATACCTTGCACATTGTTTCAATTCAAAGCAGAAATGAATCACTTACTAGGGCCATTTCAGAGGGCAGTTAAGAGTCAACTACCTTTGCTGTGAATCTGGAGTCACATGTAGGACCAGACCGGGTAAGGATGACAGATTTGCTTTTCTAAAGGATATTAATGAACCAGATGGGTTTTTACATTGATTGATAATAACTGATGGCATGACACTAAGCACAGATAGTTTATGTAGCTCCATTCTTATAGGTCCAGTTACAATCAATGTTGATCAGACAAGTGGTGATATAAAGTAGCATATGTTTATGAATGTGAGTTCCTATTTCCAATGAAGTGTCACTTGTGCCACCATCATGCCCTCGGAAGCTGTGTTTTAGTTTCCTTTCACTACGTGTACTGTGAAGGGCAGTTCATGGTTGGCAGTGATTGACTTTGTGCGCAGCTGGGTTTTAAATATGGCACCAGTGGCAGAAATCCTGGAATGTCCCAGCAATGATAAATACTTCTGCCACTGGTCAGCACAAAATGGCAGGAATACAGAGGCATAGAGGTATGGTGCATCCATTATGAGGTGAGAGTGGAGGATTGCATGAAATAGACCATAAGATATAGAAGCAGAAATTAGGCCATTCAGCCCATCGAGTCCCCTCCAGCATTCAATCTTAGCTGATAAGTTTCTCAACCCCATTCTCCCACTTTCTCCCGTAACCCTTGATCCCCTTGACAATCAAGAACTTATCTATCTCTGTCTTAAGTATAGTCAATGACCTGGCTTCCACAGCCTGTTGTGGCGATGAATTCCATAGATTCACCACTCTCTGCCTGAAGAAGTTCCTCCTTATCTCCATTCTAAAGGGTCTTCCCTTTTCTCTGAGGCTGTGCCCTTGGGTCCTAGTCTCTCCTGCTAATGGAAACATCTTCCCACCCTTCACTCTGTCCTGGTTGTTCAGTTTTCTGTAAGTTTCAATTAGATCTCCCCTCGTCCTTCTAAACGCCACCAAGTATAGACCCATTCCTCATATGTTAAATCTTTCATTCCTGGGGTCATTCTCGTGAACCTCCTTTGAACTCGCCTGAGGTATGGGGCCCAAAATTGCTCACAATACTCTAAATGTGGTCTGATCACAGCTTTATAAAGGCTCAGAAGTACATCCCTGCTTTTATTTAATACTCCTCTCAAAATAACCCACTAGAGCTTGCAGAGAGAAACCTTCCATGAAACTCCCTAAAATTGACAGTTAGCTGGTTTTTTTTTGGTGAATTTCAGCCCTCTGTTTTAGACATTTCTGTCTTCATATATAGCTTTGGTTGTTTGTTTCTTCTTTTATGTAATAAACTTTAGTTATCCAAAACCATCTGCAACCTCATGTTGAAAACATTTTCAACGATGAACAACCTTGTTAACTAAGCGTAAAAATTAAATATAGATCATATAATCCCTACAGTGTGGAAACGGGATACTCGGCCCAACAAATCCATACCACCCCTCTGAAGAGCATCCCACCCCGACTCATTCCCCTACCCCTGCATTTCCACATGTCTAACCCACCTAACCTAAACAACCCTGGACTCTATGGGACAATTTAGTATGGCCAATCCACATACCCTGCACATCTTTGGATTGTGGGAGGGAACTGCAGCATCCGAAGGAAACCGACGCAAACGTGGGAGAATGTGCAAAATCAACACAGACAGTCACCCTGAGGGTGGAATCGAACCCAGGACCCTGGTGTTGTGAGGCAGCAGTGCTAACCACTGTGCCACCTCATTTGCCAAGCCAGGTTTTATTCTGGGATCTGATTAGTCTACTACCACCATCACCTGGGATCATACAGTAGGCACCTACATTGGATGAAATGAAGTGGGTGAATATGTCAACACAGGATGACTCAGCTACTGGCTCTGATCTGCGTGGATTGACTTCAGATTACAATATCAGGAGTGTAAAGAGCAATAACCTCTGGCAACCTGTAGCTGAAATCCCTCAACCAATTGTTCTATTGCTTAATCAAGGACATGCACTAAGACCTACATTACAACATCAAAACGCAACGCTTTCACTGGCTATAAAGCAATTCAGGTTTGTCAAAGGAGCTGTAAATGTGAGCCTTTTTCAAGTCTTTAATTCTCCTCAAATAAGCCAAATAAGAAAGATTTGCTATTCTGGCAGGTTTTTATTATTATAGAAGTGTTGCTTTGCCGTTTACAACTATGCTTTAATCAAGTGAAAGTTATTTTCTATTCCCCCACCCCACCCTGCAAACAGTGCTCCAAGTATTGAAACCAGACCACAGCCTTTTTGCTCCTCCTGGAAACTCTTTGCATTCCTTACACTGACAACATGGATTTAAGTGAGCCAGGAAAGACTCTGCTTTTTGCTTTGTTAATTATTTTGTTTATTGTATGGCTCCTTCAAAGACAACAGCTGCAGAAACGCAGGCTTCCCCCAGGTCCTCCTGCTCTCCCACTACTTGGTAACTTGTTCCATGTGAATCTAAAATCACCCCACAAATCTCTCATCAAGGTAAGGTAAACTTCTATTCTTTTAAGTGAGTAAATAATGAAAATGACTTTTTGATTTCACCTAACATTTTCTGTCCTTTCGCTTTGACTCATCTTATGGTATAAATCTATAAGAGTCCAGCTGCCCTAGGGTCTCATCCAAGAGTCATTTTAAAACTATAATACTTGTTTAGTAAATGTTGATGATCTTTTAAAGTGAGACACAGTGAAACTCAATACTGTCATTGACAAATTGACTTTGTGCAGATGGGACAGACCGTTAAAAGTGATAGACAGGTCCCACATTCAGAAGTCCCACCACAATTTCCAGCAGATCCTATTTTTGCTGCTGGGGACAAGATGGCAAGTGGGGAGGAAGTGCATAAGCATCAATTATGAATCAGCTGAGCCATTTAAACTCAGTGCGTGAGTTTTCCCTGAATTTTGCTCCAGGAATTGCCTCAAAGTTGCATTTAATCCAGGACTTTATGATAGAGATGTACATACTCATAAGAGCAGTTAAAGTATATAGCACCACTAAGTTGTTGATTTAACAACACTGCCCTACAAAATGTTAAAAACTGCTTGCCTGTCAGTGAGATTGGAAAGAAATTGTTCCAGCAGTTTTCAAAGATGTTTGGTGACAACCCTATGCATCATCTTTGTAGCCGTCTTGCTGCTTGACTGCTTTCCACAACCTATTATCAGTAAAATAAGTTTAATTAACAGCTAAGTAAGATTATTGAAGTATTAGCTCTTTTTGATTTGAGATTATGAATGCAAACATTTGCCTTTATAAGGGATTAAATGCTTGAGGACATTTAGATGTTTTGGATGGGTTTTTCATGAATAGGACTTCCCTTATTTAATGAAGTCTGTAATAATTACTTAGAAATTATTTTATTTAATACCAGCATAGCTTCTGATGTGTGTCTGTGGTTGACACTGGAGTAGGTAAGGGCAAAGGATAAGGGACATATGATGGCATAAGGGAAATAAGGGACTGAGGCATGTGTGAAGGGCATGAGTTGCCACTAAATTGGTACAGCCTGTCTATATAGACATTGGAAGCTGTTTGTTATAGTGTTCTATTTAAATAGACTATTTTCTGAATAAATAGACTTTACTGAGTCATGTCCCATCCACTGACTAAGATTTCCATCAAGGTCCCATCTTCTCAACCTCACCCTTCAACTGAGGTGTGGTGACCCTCAGCTTAAACCACACACCAGCCAACTGTATTACTCTTTCTCTCTCTCTCTCTCTCTCTAAAATGAGAGAGCACCTCTAATGTCTTCTGGGACTATGGCAACTGTGCTTCTACTTTCAAGTAATTATTTGATTGTGGAGTCAATAGATACTTTGATATTGTCCAGGATGCTGCATCTTTCTTTAACAGTCATTTTTTATTTATCATGTCTTAACAGCTGAGTGAGCAATATGGCCCTGTGTTCACCGTCTGGTTCGGTACCTACCCTGCAGTGGTGCTGTGTGGTTTTGAGACTATTAAAGAAGCGTTGATTGAGCGAGGGCATGACTTTAGCAGTAGGTACCCTATCCCAGTGCTCCATAAAGTATCAGGAGGCCACGGTGAGAATGCTTTTTATTCTCTAACTGCCACTGCTTTTGGTCTCGTAAAAATTGAGCATTTGGAATTATGGGGGGGTGGGGGTGGGGGGTGGTGCGCGTGGGCGGGCGGAGCAGAGCAGACAATGAGGCCATTTTGGCCATTGAGCTGTTGTCACTACTAGATTGTCAACTGGATTTACCTCATTTCCCTAACCTTTCCCTGTATATTTATACACTTTTCTTTTTAAAAATAATTTACTTTAACTTCTCCCTTATTCATTCAGTGATAGTGCTAATTCTCTTGTTTCAATAAATAAAAGCTGAACTTTCTGCTTTCAACCAATCATAGGAATATAACCAGTAAAGGTGAGTGTAGGTGGGGAGGTAGGGAGGAGATAGGTCAGTCCAGGGAGGACGGACAGGTCAAGGGGGCAGCCCCACCACACCCGGCACTTTTCCCTGCAACCGCAGGAAGTGCTACACCTGCCCCCATACCTCCTCCCTCACCCCCATCCCAGGCCCCAAGGAGACTTTCCACATCAAGCAGATGTTCACCTGCACATCTGCTAATGTGGTATACTGCATCCGCTGTACCCGTTGTGGCCTCCTCTACATCGGGGAAACCAAGCGGAGGCTTGGGGATCGCTTTGCAGAACACCTACGCTCGGTTCGCAATAAACAACTGCACCTCCCAGTCGCGAACCATTTCAACTCCCCCCTCCCATTCCTCAGACGACATGTCCATCCTGGGCCTCCTGCAGTGCCACAACGATGCCACTCGAAGGTTGCAGGAACAGCAACTCATATTCCGCTTGGGAACCCTGCAGCCCAATGGTATCAATGTGGATTTCACAAGCTTCAAAATCTCCCCTCCCCCTAGCGCATCCCAAAACCAGCCCAGCTCGTCCCCGCCTCCCTAACCTGTTCTTCCTCCCACCTATCTCCTCATCCCATCTCAAGCCGCACCCCCATTTCCTATCTACTAACCTGTCCGTCCTCCCTGGATTGACCTATCTCCTCCCTACCTCCCCACCTACACTCACCTTTACTGGCTCCATCCCTGCCTCTTTGACCTGTCTGTTTCCTCTCCACCTATCTTCTCCTCTATCCATCTTCTATCCGCCTCCCCTCTCTCCCTATTTATTTCAGAACCCCCTTCCCCTCCCCCATTTCTGATGAAGGGTCTAGGACCGAAATGTCAGCCTTCCTGCTCCTATGATGCTGCTTGGCCTGCTGTGTTCATCCAGCTCTATACCTTGTTATCTCAGATTCTCCAGCATCTGCAGTTCCTCCTATCTCTGATAGGAATATAACATTGACTTTAACAAAACATCTTTTTCCACTTTTACTTCCTGAAAATCCTAACCAATGTATGTATTCACTGCTATTAAAGCATACATGGCAGCCAATGAGCATTGGCATAAATGATCAGGTAATCTGATTTTAGAGATGGTTAATGGATTCAAACTGGCCAGGATACCACTGCATTTCAAATAATTCAATAGGCTTTTCACATTCAGGTTTATCTGGGTTTAACATCCTGACTCTCTGACTCTGCCTAAAGACAGAATTCTCACTGCATTGCACTGGAGTGTCACTCTAGATTATACACTGAAATTCTGTGGAGAGATTGAATCTGCAGTCTTCTGACTTGGAGACAAGTATGTTACCAATTGAACCAAGCTGGCATATCCAAGTTTAGTGCCATTCCCTCTCAATGCTACCAGTTTTGTACTTTGCCATGAAGGAAGTTATTTCATTTCTGGTGATGTTGGTTGAGGACAAACCCAGAATTAATTTGAATCCAAAATGGGAGTTGGCACCTTGATTTGATACCTCTTCTGCAGGACAACACTTTGACAATGCACAATTCCCTCAGAACTGACTAAGTATCATATTAGGTCAAGATGAGATCACAAATGGGCCGACAACAAATGTGTGTAGATTTGAGTAGCAGCACTTCATCTTTTGGACTGGACACTCTACACAGCCTTCTAGGTTCAAGGTTGAGTCCAAAGGCTTTTTTTCTTCGCTGTTATTTCCTCCTGTTTTATCTCCGATGTCCTTTACATTTTGATGACAGCAATTCAGGATCCTGACCTTAGACCCCGAGATACATCTCTTACTTGTTCCACTATATTTAGCTTTGTACCATAAATCTTTCTGACATTCAATGTTGCTTTCCTTTCTGCCCATCACAGACTTTCACTTTTGTTCTACTGCCTACCTTAGCCCTATGATTTTTAACTTGCATAAAACCTATTACATTCCTAATTGTTCACATTTCTCTCTCCATAGTTGCTGCAAAACTGCTGACTATTTCCATTTGTTTTTATTTAATATTTGTAGAGTTTACAGTACTCCTGTTGTTCCACCTAGAAGAATGACCATATGAATTATGTATAGTTGGCAGCTGTGGAAAAGTGGAGAAAGGAAATTGAAAATATTAAGCACATTTGGTCCACACACAGTTGAAAATTCAGCATAGCAGTTTTTCACACTCATTAATATCTCTTTTGCAGGAGTTATCGCCAGTAATGGGGAAAGATGGAAAAATCTTAGGAGATTCTCTCTTCGCACCTTCAGGAATTTTGGAATGGGGAAAAAAAGCATTGAAGAGCGGATTCAGGAAGAAGCACAGTTCCTGGTTAAAACTTTCAGAAATAAAAAAGGTTTGACTGAAGTGCAAATGCATTATCATCAATAAATAAAAATAGATTTGTATTTTTTCAAGCTCCAAACTAGGGATGCATGAGGATCACTGCCAGGCAGGAGTGGGAAGGGACAGCAGTTGAATGTGTAAGGTAGGGCTTGACATGATGACTTCTGTCCAAAAGTTAATTTTGCCCTGTTGGAGAATTCATTTAAAATACAATCTCTGGTAATCTAAGAGCTACATGTGTCTTGAGATACCACAAACTTTAATTTAACAAAGCAGAGTTGATGTCTAATTCCAGTCACCTCAGAGCACAGTCATTCACTGGTGTGCAAACTGTAGAGGCCATCAGTTTAAAGAACCCATTTAATTTTTTTTTTAACTTTTGGACTGTGAACCAAAATGGAAAAACTATACTGCTCTACGCCAAGGAAATCGTGGAAGATGTTGCAGTTTTAGAACAAGTTACTGGAGCTCATTGTGAGTTGTATTGATGCTGTTGTTTTGTCCAAATTGTTGGGGAGAATTGTGGGACTCATTGGGACTGTGGACATGTGTTTAAGGCAGCTATGTCCAGAGACAGTTTTTTGATTGTTTTCAATCAGGGCAAGTTTCTGTGGGTCGGGAATACTCAGCATGATGACACTACTTTGATCAGCTCCTGGGCTGGTGGATAGTCTGTGTGTGAATAGAATAGGAATAGAAAGACTGCAGATTTGTAATAGGTAGCATCTCTCTCTCCCTGCAGAAATGTAACAAAGAATTAGAAAATAACTAGCTATTCTCACTCACTGTTTGCATATAAGCTGCTGCCTTTAATCAGTGACTGAGAAACTGAACAATTAATGTGTCAACTGCCCTCTGTCTGTAGTAAAGAACTTAAAATACTTGGAAAGGAGAGTGTAGATCAGAAGGATTCTAAAAAAGCATAAGGACACCTCATCGAATCCTATGGATGGTGCTGTTGAACTGTGTTCCCCTAATACTTTTTCTCCACCCATCATGCCTGATTTTTGGTTTGTCTATCTATCTGCATGTAGGGGTTTAAGAAGGTAGAATTTAATTTGATGATTCGTATTTTGTTTTCCTGAAGTTAAAGATAAACAGAAATGGTAGTAAGTACAGAAAACTGGTCAGTGTTTTCTGTTAACCTAAGTTTATCAGACAGAAAAATCAGGAACTTTGAGTAATTTGATTAACTCTTTAACTTATGTGAAGATCCTGGGAATAGTGGGGCTCGAGTATCAGTGTACTTTCCCAACTGGGTCGTGACATCAGGTACTTTGGATACTGGACATGATTCAATGATATGGGAACTGATTTACATTTATCCTTAGAAATGTTACTTGTTACAAAGGCCCCATTGATGAAGATTCAAGGCACATTACCCATGAATAGTTCGGGAGTTATGAGAAATTCCCAATTTTTTTATGGCCAAGTGAAATCTGGCTGAGGATCTACATTTTCATAGATGACATGATTATCTATCAGAGCATCTGCTGTTCACTCTTCAGATTTACATCCTGGTATGGAAAAGTTAAAAGAATGAGGAAGCATTGACCATATTGAGTGTCAACAAGGGAGCTATGCTATTAGTAGAACGTTAATAAATCAGTGAACTGGCAGTTAGATTTTCTCTATATTTTCACCAATTTTGCTACCATAGCTGAATGACGGAGATATTGTGGAGTGACCATGAGAGTGAAGCAGGCGATGTTCCCTCATGCAGCTGTTTGGAGGATTCGTGCATGCCAATTGATGCCATGTGGACATTGACTTCCAGTTCTGGAGCTATCTAAAATTACTCCTTACCACAGTGACTATTCCTCAAGAGACCAGGAACAACATTGCCCATAATTAGACTTCAGTTGCTTGCTTTCCCCAATATTCAATGGATTTCACTGATAAGTCCCCGACTATTATTGACCAAACTTCCATAACTGACTACAGCCTACTCCCCAGACTGATTTTGACCACAGCCCATCCCCAGGACTGACAAATCAACAACACCCTGCCTGACCTACTCGTAATCCCCGACTGCTCGCATTTAACCTACTGGATTGACCGTGGCCCAATTCTGTTTGCAAGGAGACAAATGACTGGATTTGAGTAGGATTGAGTGTCTACCTGACTGCGGACCAGTTCCTGTGGTATTCTTGCATGAACCATAAATCTGATGGCACTGTAGTCCCTCTTCACCTCACTATAGTTTGCTCCCCTTTGACTTTCACATACTGTCATTGCTTCAAGTACCTGCAGCGTGTTTGCCACATAAACTGCTGGACCCTGCTGGAAGTCTGACATCGACTTAGGCATTGTGCTGCACAGTGACATGTCCACCTCCTGACTGACTGTTCAGTCCTCCCTTCCTTACAAACTCCCTGTGCATTAAAAAGCAGTGCAACCCACAGAGGCTGGCAGACTATAAATGAGCATTAATGATCTTGTGTGCTAAGAAAGCAATGAGACCCCACACAGGGACTGGAAGCCTGTAAGTCAGTGCTGATATCAATGCGCAGTAAGAAAGTAGTTTGAAGTGGACAGAGGTTGGCAGCAGCCGAGTAAGTACTCAGGAAGCATGCTAACAGCCATAGGATACTTGTGTCAATGCAAGTGCAAAAGCATCCTATGTTGCTGCAAGTCAGTTCCTGCAAGCAAAGGGACCTGGCAGAAGCAATTCAAATCGCAGTTGTCCTTGTCCTCCAAAGTAAAGCAGTGAAGGGCTGAAGTGGTATCTGAGTTGGTATACAAGCAGGCATGATGTGGTGAGGCAAGTGGTGTACCAATGCAGACTTGTGTGGATGAAGGGTTGAGGTAGATGGTGGCCATGGAGAATGCAAGGACATTGTTCAGAAGAAGCAGGTGCACAATGACCTAGACAAACATTAGTCCAGCTGCAGCTGCCAGGTACCTGCCCTGACTTACCTGTTGGGAATTTACCTGGTCTAAATTTCTCGGCAGAGGAGAGGAGAATTAGATGTGGCATACCATGGGGTGAGTTGGATTTTAATGACATGCAAATGCATAGAAATAAGGTAGTTAGCACTGAGATTCTGAAGGCTCCATTTCAAATATGAGGGGAAAATCATGATTATTTTCTTTATTGAGAATCTACATTTTTTTCATTTTTACAGTGTTTTCCCATCATTCTTACCATTACTCTCACCACACCAGGGAGAGATAAATTCCATCCCTAATTTTTAATGTACATAAAATGTTTGTCTGCATCTGGATTGCTTGTGCAACACTTTATACCTTTCTAACTGAGCTTTCTCATGATATCAGAGAGCCCATTTAGTCCAGATTTTCTGATGAGATGTGCAGCATCAAATATCATCTGTTCTATTGTCTTTGGAGATCGGTTCGAATATGGAGATAAGAAATTTCTCTCACTACTGGAAATGATTGCAGAAAATGGCCGCATTTTAAGTAGCCCTTGGGTACAGGTACAACTTTTTTTCTTTTAGGTCATGGTGTTACTGAAACTCTGTACATAAGTCATTAAAATGTTCAGGACAAAAACAAAAATCAAGAAGGCTAATGGAATGCTGGCCCTTATTTTGAACTAAAATACGAGGAGGTCGAAAGTGACACTACAGTTATACAAAGCCCTGATTAGACTTCACTGGGTGAACAGGTCTGTTAATCATTCTTTAAGTAATATATATTGACCTTGGCTAAAATGATAACTGGCTCCAAAGGTTAAATTTTGAGGATATTTAAAGTTGTGTTCGTGGAAATTAAAAGGTTAAGTATTACATCCAGATGTTAAAGGGCTGACAGAGTAGATGGCAAGGAACCAATTTCTACTGACTACATAATCTAGGGTTATGGGACATAGCCCAAAAATTACAGCCAGACCTTTCAGGATCGTATTAACAAATGTTTCTACATGCAAAGCGTGGTAGATGTTTGGAACTCTTTTCTCCAAAATGAAGTCAATGCTGAGTCAGTTGTTAGTTTAAATCTATAGGTGATAGATCGCTGATAAACAAAGCTATTAAGATTTATGGTGCAAAGATAAGTATTTGCAGTTAGATCACAGAACAAATGGAATAGGCTGTGGGGCTAAATGGTATCCTCTTGTTACCTTATTCCTAACTCTAAACTGGTCAAGATTTTTAGATGATGCTTAATGAGAAAGAGGATGAACCTCAAGATTTTTAAAAAAAGGATTAGATCAATTGCAAATTTTTTAAACAAGTGATACATTCAAATTGATACATGTAAATTAACTGGTCAGGTCCATCTTAGTGTTGGATACCACATAAAAAGACTGGTACAAGCATGGTCAAGATTGAGGGTGGGGGAGAAGAGAATGAAGTCAAGAAAAATGGGGTAGCACCATGACAAAATTGTGATTAGACTGAGATCTACAATGGAGGCAATGGCCTCTTGGTATTATCACTGGATTGTTAACCCAGAGACACGGCTAGAGTCTAATGATGACCATGAATCATCATCGATTGTCAGAAAAACCAATCTGGTTCACTAATGTCCTTTTAGGGAAGGAACCTGCCATTCTTACCTGGTCTGGCCTACATGTGACTCCAGATCCACTGCAATGTGGTTGACCCTTAACTGCCCTCTGGGCAATTAGGGATGGGCAATAAATGCTGGCCTATCTAGTGATGCCCTCATCCCATGAATTAATGAATAAATAAAACACATTAGATGATTATCATCTTGGGGCAGCTCAGAATATTAATTCAACTTAAGGCAGACAAGCAGTAGTAAAGGACAATTAATGAGAAGTAAATTTAAAACCAGTATCAGGAAGAACTCCTTCACTTAAAAATGAGAACTATTTGGGGTGGTCTACCATGCAACGTTGAAAGTGTTACAATCCAGTTAGGGATTGTGAACATTTAAAAAGAAATCCAAATCTCTTGTTTTAATCGATAGAACTATGCCACAAGATTTCAGTAAGGAAACAGTACTTCATTGCATCTACTGTGAAAGAATTAAACAAAAAAAAACATTAACTTGGAATGGTTTATGTTATGCATTCAGATTTACCACTTACTTTCCTCAAGAATTCTCTCGAGATCCATCAACTTTGAAGTTATTTACTTTGAAGGGGAGGAGAGGTATAGTCTGGCATGGGGTCATAGGGGTTATTTGGGAAGACATAGTTTGGTTTAATGGGGGATGAAAAGAGGCCTGAGGTTGAGGGGCTGTGAGGGGCAAGTTCTAGAAGGCATTTTCAGTTTTTATTGCTGCTGAGGCTGCCCTGACACTTACTGTAGCTGCCTGCAAATGTTTTTCAAAGTTGGCTGGCCTGACTGCAGCCTACACGCATCCTCCCACCCCCCAACAAGTTCATGCAGGTATTTTCTCTCAAGGTGGGCAGTCTGAGCTGGAAACTCTCTGACTTCTGCTGTCCACCTTGAGGGTGAAAATCTGGTTCCGCGTCTCCAGATAAGTAAGTCTATCTGCTGCTTTATTGTTCTGTTTTTTTTCCCCTTCCTGACATTTTTTAGTTGACAACCTAACAGCTGCATTTCTAAATTGAAAGGTATATTCTAAAATACACAAACCACAAACTAGGTACTTACAACAATGCAATAAAATTGAGGGTAATGTAAACAGAATTCTATAAGAATGCATTAAGAGAATCGAGCTTTCTGTTGACATCATAAGCAGAGCACTAATTGGCATTAGTTTCCTGCTTCATGTCCAGAATCGGCCATGGGCATCAATCAAACATGGCCATTCAATCCTGAGTCAAAGCAGCCAATTTCAGTCCACTGGGATATTCTAGAAGAAATTCCCTCTCATACCACTTGGTGTTTCTCCATCCTGATCTCCATAAAAAAATATAATAAGCAATGATACTCAATGTTTTTATAATGTCCAATTTAGCTTCCCAGCAGGATGATGCAACTGCTTTCTAAATGTGCCCTCAAATCAAATGTCTTCACTGGGTGCCTATCCTGCATGTCCAGCATCCTGTTCAGGTGGGAAAAGAGAATTGAGTTTGAGTTGTTGGTGGAGTTTCGTTTAATATCTAGCCTTACTTAGCCATGTGAATTTTATACTGGTGCCCTCTATTTCCATGTTTATTATCCAAGCTAATTGCAATCCTATCTATTCTCTTCATGATTGTAAAATCCTGTAATACACCTTTTCTCCAACAGAAAATCCTTTCTAACTTCCTCTGGCTGGGAACAGCTATCTCTCTATATCCCTTTCGGTTTCTTCTCAGTACCAGATGTCAGAAATACTATTCTGATAATGATAATTGGTTTGATAATTGACGTTTTGATAATTGGTTTGCTTTGCAGTTGTACAATAACTTTCCAAAGATCATGGACTTTCTGCCTGGGCCTCACAAAAAGATCTTCCAAAATGTATCAGATTTGAGTGCATTTTTGAATAAAAGTATTCAAAGTCACAAAGAAAGTTTGCAGAAGGATTTCTCCAGGGATTATATCGACAGCTTCCTCATCAAGATGGATGAGGTACTGGGAGTACTTTCTTTTTCATAATTGTACGTTTCAACACCTGTATCTCCTTCCTTGAAAATTAATGATTTCTTTAGAATTGATCTGATGAATGAAACATCACTACATTGAAGCTATCTTTGACTAAATAAAGTTATTTGGGAACTGATTTTGTAAATAAATGATTACATACAATATAAGGAACTTTAATGTTTTTATAAGTAGATTTTGTTTTGTTTCAGGAGAAACACAACCTTGATTCAGAATTCGATGACAAGAACTTGTTGATGACGACATTGAATTTATTCCTGGCTGGAACCGAAACATCTAGTACAACACTGCGATGGGCTATCCAGATCTTGGCGAAATATCCGCACATTCAGGGTAAGCATCATCACTCCTCTTCCTGTCTAGTTACATGGACCTGAGATCTAGTCAAAAAGCAATCCAGGATCTTCCACCTGTAATAGTTCATTGCTTCTACTTCCACTGGTGGTTCCATCTCCTTTGGTGAGGCTGACATTCTTGAACCTGCCAAGTTGTTTCTCAAAATAAATTCCTATGAAAGGAACTGATTCTGTTTCATTCCTCCCACTACAGCGTCTCCATTTACCAAGTCATTTTTAAAATCCAATTTCATATAATGAGACTAGTAACCTCTATGCATGTGTCCAATTAATATTTTCTTCTTTTGTTTAAATCTCTCTGGAAGACAAATAGTATCATCATCCAACATCAGTGACTCACTGTTACTCCAGTGTCTCTCAATGGGTGGAATCTGAGAGGTCTGAGTGATATGGGCTATGGTTAGATGTATGGCAGAATTCAGTGACAAGTGTGGAGTATCTCAATGTTGATCTCCACCTTTTATGCTTTTCACAAGTGACATGACAAGATTCTTGCTAGAGAGCGGCGAGTTTCCAATTGATGCTCATTATTGATAAATGCCTTGTAATTTTCACACTGCCATCTTACCAAATTCACCAAACAAGCTTGACATTGGGAAAACTCGACAAAGAAACCAGAGTAAGCAGCTGGCAAATTCAGCTGACCACATCGGACACCAGGCACCAACATCTCAGGGCACACAATGTGCACTGGCCACATACACCCCATGTCTATGGGCATTGGCATCCACCATGAACCCTCATTGCACGTCTCCAATCCACTTACTGGAAATCATAGATCATAGATCCTTACAGTGTGGAAACACGCCCTTCAGCCCAACAAGTCCACACCGACCCTCAGAACATCCCACCCAGACCCATCCCCCCCTATAACACACCTAATCTACACATCCCTGAACACTATGGGCAATTTAACATGGCCAATCCACCTAACCTGCACATCTTTGGACTGTGGGAGGAAACCCATGCAGACATGGGGAGAATGTGCAAACTCCACACAGTCACCCGAGGGTGGAATTGAAGCAAGGTCCCTGGCGCTGCGAGGCAGCAGTGCTAATCACTGAGCCACCGAGCCGCCGCTTGTCTCAACATAATAGCTGTTTTATGTCCAGAACTGCTCATAATTTTAGAAAGATAGGCACAATGCTTCTTTAATCCAATGAATTCAAATCCTGCCAACAGTCCATGCTGATGTTATTGCTGTACAAGTTATATACCAGACTGAAATTAGCTTGATAGGTTATTTTTCCTTCAGTTTCAGCATGGTGGTTTTTCACCAAAACACAAACTGCAGTGCTACAGATTTGGCTTTAACAGTAAAACAAAAGTTTATTACACAAGATAACCAAATAACAAAATTGAATATCCAAACAATTTGCTATGGGAAGGATATTATTAAATTGAATGTTGCTGGAAATAGAGGGTTTGAGTTATAAAAATAGGCTGGATAGGATGGGATCTTTTTCCACTGAGAAATAACTCCATGAAGTCCAGTATCCTGTCACCAAGTCACCCTTTATTTACACATGTATACTACATGACACTGATCCAGGTAGCTCAGAGCTAGCTCCTAGAATGAGCAGAACTTCTGACATTCCTGTCTATATCTATCAACCAGGACTCCCTGACTAGACCAGGTTAACAGTCCCCATCAGGAAACTCATATTCTGAGATCCACCTGGCTGATCTCATTTCAATCCCTACATCCCTCTCCCTCTAAATCCTGGAACGTAAGCCTATTCTTTTTCCTGTAGCTTCTCATTTAGTGTTTTCACACCAGGTCCAGTTCCCCTGAATCGGATACTAGTGGCATGTACTGGACTGTAGCCCACCTCTTGTGCCTGGAACCAGAACTCATCTTCTTTGTCAGGCTGCAACATCTGCCATGTCCATCTCGTCCTCGGATTTCTTCGCTAGGCAGAGGGGAGAGCCAACAGGTTCTGATAGCCTTGCTGGATGTTCTGAGGGGCCCGGTATGTTTTGCTGCTGTCCTGTTTGCGAGGTTGCAGCTTTCATGTGGTCCACACGCTTTGTTCAGGACTGCCTCATCTACTGCAACTTTGTACGTCACAGAACCTGACCTTGTGTCGACCATGCCTCTCACCTATGCAGGGCCATTCCCATGATTTTGACACCAAACTTCACCACCTGAAGTAAACTGCCTCTCTTGCTTCGAGGAGTCTTGTGCCCAGCATTGGCGTCCCTGATGACATTTTATCTTCCTTCCCCAGGTCTGGGAAGATCAGATTTAACCTTGTGCAGAGTTTTCTTCACATTAGCAACTCTGCTGGAGCTGTCCCTGTACTTGCGCAAGAGGTGGTCAGACAGGAACCAGGACTGTTTGATATTGAGTGAAGCTGTAGGCTATTTCTTTAAGCCTGCCTTCAAAGTTTTTACTGGTCTTTCTGCCAGACCATTGGACGATGGATGGTATGGAGCTGTCCTTACATGCCGAATGCCATTTGGCTTTAGGAAATACTTGAATTCCCTGCTGGTAAATGGCGGCCCGTTGTCTGTGACTAAAACTTCCTGGAGTCCATGTATTGCAGAAGATGCTTGTAAGTTTTCAATCATCGAGCCTGCGTTTGACGATGAACTCTACGCACATCCAAACACTTTCAATGGGCATCCACAATGACTAAAACCATACAGCCCCTGAAAGGGCAGGGAAAATGGACGTGTAACTGAGTCCAGGATTTACCTGGCCATTTCCCCGAATGTTGGGAAGCTGCTAGTGGCAATTTTTGTCCGTGTTGGCACATTGGACACTGCGCCACCATTGCGGCTATGTCGGCATCCAATCTTGGCCACCAGACATAATTTCTCACCAAACATCTTCATTTTGGAAATCCCTGGGTGACCTTCATGGATTTCAGCCAGTATCTCCTTGGGACAATCACTCTTGTTCCCCATAGTAAAATGCCACCCTCAATGGTGATCTGGTCTCACCAGGTCCATAAAGGTTTCAATCCTGGTTGTGATGGCCATCTCATTTCCCCCATCATCACCAGCTTTTTAGTTTTGCCAGGACAGGATCATTTTGTGTCCACAGTCTGATATTGTCAATGGTGACCGGAAGGGTACACGGAAAGTTTAAAACCAGAAAGAACCCATGGTGGTGCTTCTGCCAGTGGGATGCAGGCTCAAGGCATCCTCATTTGCCACTTGGCCTCCTGGACGGTGTTCAAACTTATAATTGTACATATTCAGAATAAGAGCCACTGAATTTGATGTGAAGTTATGGGTGGCAAGGCCCTGTCCTCTTTAAGTAGCCCTAACAGGGGTTTGTAGTTTGTTACTATTACAAATTTACATCTGTAAAGGTGTTGATGGAATTTCCTCACATCAAAGATGACCGCCAAATCTTCCTTGTCTATTTGGGCGTATCTTTGTTCAGCATCGGCCGAAGTCTGGGAAGCATACGCTATCGGGTGTTCCTCTCTGCTGGGCCACTGGTGAGCCAATGTCACCCTAATACCATATGGGGAGGCATTGCACCAGTGAGCCAACGCCACCCTGATACCGTATGGGGAGGCATCACATGTCACCAGATCTCGTTTGGGATTGTAGTGTGCCAACACCTTAGACGACGATAGCTGCTTCTTCACTTCCTTAATGGCTACATCTTGGCTACCTTTCCAAGGCTAACCCTTTTCCAATAGCAATTGAAAAAGGATGGAGGCCAAGTTACATATGAATCTTCTGTAATAATTCACCAACCCAAGGAAAGACTTAAGCTCCTGTATGAATGTGGGAGCCAGGACACCTTTGATTGCCCTCACTTTATTTTCCAATGGGTGTAACCTGGTCTTGTCAATTCTGTAGCCCAAGTAGGTCACTTGGGGTGCCTGGAATACATTTTTCCTTCCATTGACGTACGCTGGTCTTGGGGAACTACCTTTCTCACGCTGTTCTTTTTAATGAACCATGGGTTCAGAAAGCCTTATAAGTTAATCATTAAATCCTTTCAGATATACAGACAAAAACCTGTATGCCACTTGTTCAAAATTCAAATTAAAAACTAAACGATATTAAAATATGTAAATAAATCACGCACCTAACAAAGGGGACCTGGCAAAAGTTATGAGGGGCATGGACAGGGTGAATTGAAAGCAGCTGTTCCTCCCTATTGAAGAGTCAATAACAAGGGAGCATAATTTTAAGGTGAAAGGCTGGAGATTTAGAGGAAATTTGAGGACAGTTTTTCAACCAGAGGGTGATGGGTGTCTGGAATGCACTGCCTGGGAGGGTATTTGAGGTAGTAACCTCGCAAACTTTAAAAAGTACTTGTTAGATGACACAAGTTGAGTTGCGCGTGTAAGTTAAATATATTATAGAATAATTGTGAAATTTTCTTCCCCCATCAGAGAAAGTTCATCAAGAGATTGACGAGGTGATTGGTTCCTCGCGATGTCCTGCTATTGAAGATCGAGCAAAAATGCCATACACAAATGCTGTCATACATGAGGTCCAACGATATGTTGACCTTGTTCCCATGAATCTTCCACACATGGCATCAAATGATATAGATTTCAGAGGATATCTGATTCCTAAGGTCAGAATAAAACCTATTATTACATTGTTCATTATTTATATAGCACTTAGGATATCAAACCATTGCGTTATTAATTACTTTTGAAATTTAGTAACCATATATGACAGCCACTTTGTTCCAATTTGAACCGAACGGTCTGCTTTCATCCTGTACATCTCTATGACTATGATAATCAGCATGGTTTATGTGCAAGGAAAATCATGTTTCACAAATTTGATTGAGTTTTTTGAGGAAGTCACCAGAAATGTTGATGATGGCAGTGCAGTAGACATTGTTTATTTGGATTTTAGTAAGGCCTTTGACAAGGTTCCACATGATAGACTAATTTGCAAAGTTAGGTCACATGAGATTCAGGGTGAGTTTGCCAATTGGATTAATGGTAGGAGACACAGTAATAGTGGAGGGTTGCTTTACAGACTGGAGGCCTGTGACCATGGGATTGGTTCTGGGTCCTTGTTTGTCATTTATATAAATGATTTGGATGAGAATATAGAAGGCATGGCTGGTAAGTTTGCAGATGACACTAAAATTGGAGACATAGTAGACAGTGAAGAAGGTTTTCTAAGATTACAAAGGGATCTTGATCAAATGGATCAATGGGCTAAAAAATGGCAGATGGAGTCAATCTGGATAAATGTGAGATATTCCATTTTGGTACAACAAAGGTAGGGCTTATACAATTAATGGCAGGGCCTTGGGTAGTGTTGTAGAACACAGAGACGTAGGGGTGCAGGTACATAATTCTTTGAAGTTTGGATCACATATAGATAGGGTGGTTAAAAAAGCATTTTGGCATGCTTGCCTTCGTTGATCAGTCCTTTGAGTATAGGAGTTGGGATCTTATGTTGAGGTTGTACAAGACATTGGTGAGGCGTCTTCTGGAATACTGTCTAGTTCTGGTTGCCCAGCTTTGGAAAGGATATTATCAAGCTGGAGAGGGTTCAGAAGAGATTTACCAGTATGTTGCCAGGTATGGAAGGTTTAGGTATAAAGAAATGCTGGATAGGCTAGGACATTTTTTGCTGGAGTGTAGGAGGTTGAGAGGCGACCTGATAGAAGTTTATAAAATAATGAGACGTATAGATAGAGTTAATGGTAGTTGTCTTTTCCCTAAGATGGGGGATTTCAACACCAGGGGGCATATTTTTATGGTGAGAGGAGAGAGATTTTAAAAAGACATGAGGGGGAAATTTTTTACACAGAGGGTGGTTTGCTTGTGGAATGAACTTCCTGCGGAAGTGGTGAATGCCGGTACAATTACAACATTTAAAAACCACTTGGATAGATACATGAATAGGAAAGGTTTGGAGGGATATGGGCCAGGAGCAGGCAGGTGGGACTAGTTTAGTTTGGGCATATGTTTGGCACGGACTGGTTGGACTTAAGGGTCTGTTTCCATGCTGTATGACTCTGTGGCTCTATGAATTTGGCAGTGATGAATACTCGCACCTACAGTGAGTGGGAGAATATGATGATGGTGCGTCAGAGACACGGTACATAGATAATGAGATGAGTTTGGGGAGATAACTTTTGAAAACTCATGAGGTCTCACAGAGGGAACGCATCCATGAAACTTGAGAAAATTGACACTAAGCCGATTCAACTCGAAGGGAAAATTAAGCTGATTTTTTCTCAGCGATGGTGAGTTCCAATGTAACAAGTCCATTGCCACTCTGGTTAAGATCAAAAATTCAGTCAAGTTCAAGAATCAGATTTGCTCTCCTGGATGAATATCAAATGTGACATTACACTAAATCACCAAGACAGATGATTTCTAACTTTATTTCATTCTCTCATGTTGCTATGTTTCTCTAGTGTTCAGTTGTTACAAATGTAAATTTTGCTTATTTCCTTGTTGAACTTGTGGTAATTTTGATTTAGGGTACATTTGTGATTCCTGTACTTTCCTCCGTCCTGAAATCCACCAGCCAGTGGGAGACACCAAATTCATTTAATCCTAATCACTTCCTTGATAAAAATGGATGTTTCAAAAATAGTGAAAGTTTCATGCCATTCTCTGCAGGTATGGACTGTCTTTCCCTTTTCTATCTAATTGAAGTTTTGCTTACCTTCTCATCAATAGTGAATATGAATTTGAGAGACAAATGAAGAAGCAAGACTAGTCCCTATCATGTCAGAGAGGTTGGCTGTCATGCAGTCTGACAGCTATATGAAGTAAAACCTCTGTTGTTATAAAGAGCACTTCTGATCTTTGGGATGAGCAGTGTACTGAAATGTTAGTAGTCAAGTTAACCACATCAGATTGTGTGTAAGTCGTTAGCTGAAGATCTGATTTCATCTGAAATAATCTTTAAATTGGTATAAACATGTCTTTTGAATTGATATCTGTGGAAATAATACCACAAGTTGGCTGATAGAAATGATGGCCTACAATAACACTAGAGTTCAGAAACAAATTGGAACTGCAAATGTAAATTAAAAATTCAAAGAAGACATGGGAGAAGGGAGGTTTGAATTACAAATTTGCTCAATTTGTAATGGTTACTTGGATTTATACCGAACTACGCACTGTAGAAAAGTTGAATATTGTCAACTTGAGCAATAAAGTGTGCCAAGTGTGCAAGTTTTTTTTTGATTTCTAGGAGTGTTTCTTGGTTACTGAATGGTTATAGATTTTTAAGTAAAAGTGCATATGGAAGTGCATTTACCTATATTGTGAGAGTGTGGGTAAGGCATTTCTATCAAAATTAATGGTTTAGACCTAGGAACAATTGTGTGAAGTGTTCATAGATCATTGTGGGTCATGGGCATATTTCATGGCAACATTGCTTATCTCAGTTTGACAAGAATTAGACTCACGCTCAAAGTATAGAAACAGATCCAGCCCCCTACTCATTAATGAAACATATTTTAAAGCAAGCAACAGTCAAATACTGAGTTTCATAACTCCATAACATCTGTTTTTGCAGGGAAGAGGAAATGTCTGGGAGAGTCCTTGGCTTGCACGGAAATCTTCCTTTTTTTGACGACTCTGCTTCAGAACTTTGTCTTCAAACCTGTTATTGACTGCAAGGATATTAACATCTCATCGGCTTTCAGTGGAATCTTGCAGATACCCCACATGTACAAGTTTTGTGCTATTTCTCGTTAACTTGAGCAAGACACCAGTTGTGTTGTATCAACTGAATTTTGCAGATGATGTTAGAGCTTCGTTAGTTTATCTATAAATTCTAGACTAATCTTGAATATACATTTTCTGTTTTTTTTTAAACAAATTCACTCAATTGAAATGTAGACCAAACTTCAGCACACAGGATCTGTACCTTTCTCACATTCACAGTACCAATTGTTTATAGAAATTACTGACTCACCACAATTTGACTTCCAGCAACAGCATTTTAGTGAAAAAAACTAATTTTAATAGGCAACACATTAATTAAATTCATATAATACAGGTAAATGGTTATTCATGTGTAACATTAATTCTGTTTCTCTCTCCATACATGCCATTTGATCTGCATTTCCTGTTTTATTTCACCATTCCAGTATCTGCAGTATTTTCTTATAGTAACAGAGTCAAGTATTCGTTTTTAAAAATACAATGAAGCACTTTAGAATTCCCAATAATTCACATGATAATGGAAACATATAATTAAAAAGATGATCAGAACTTTGTCAAAATAGGCTTTTAATATATTTAAAACATTTTTTTCTACTGGCATCATAACAGATACTTAAAGCGAGTGAAATCTGTTCTATAACTGAAGGATGGCCACGTAAAGTGAATGAATATAATGCAAATTTGAACATAATGGACAAAATCTTACAGGGGTTGAGTGAGATGGGCTATAGTGACATCTGTCAATAACTCAAATGTGCAGCCAATTGGATATTTAAATGTAAGGCAGGTGGGACTAGTTAGTATGGGAACATGGTTGGCGTGGACTGGTTGGACCAAACGGTCTGTTTCCAAGTTATATGACTATGACTATGACTAAAGCTGTCTAAATCAAAATGGAGTTGAAGGGGGAAATAAAGCTGGGTCTGCATTTTTTTTCATATCAGCCTGTTCAGATATGTTATTATACACTTCTGGAGTAGGTGGGACTGGAACCCAGACCTTTGGTCCAGAGTTAGGTACACTATCATTGCACCACAAGAGCCCTCTGGGTCTGCTTTATACATATTTTTAAATCAACCTATTCAGATATTTTATGACACACCTCAGGAGAGGGTGGGACTTGAACCTGGAGCTTCTGATTCAGAGGTAGGGATGCTTCCACTGTGTCACAAGGGTCCTCTGGGCCTGTTTTATACAAAATTGAACCACAGAGTTGAGTCACACCGAGGTTTGTAAACTACCCTATTTATTGGTATTTTTATAGCTTTCTTCTGTTAATACGTTGATGTCGTGTGATACAGATATTTATGAATTGCACTGCATGCACCACATTCAAGAGTCAGTTCACAGGAGTACTCTGAGATCTTCCTTCTATATTGGTATTTTCCAATCAACCTGTTCAGAGATGGTATTACACAGCTCTATAGCAGGTGGATGTTGAACCCAGGGTCACCTGGCTCAGAGGTATGGATACTACAACTACACCACAACAGCCGTTCTGGGTCTGCTTTTTTTTTTTAAAATTTGTTTTCTTTTTTATATTTCTATCCAGAAGTGTCATCACACACAATTAGGCGACTTTCCCACCACCAAAATCACTCTGACTGTTTATTTTTGTTAACTACTAACCACCATCAGTAATGCCCCTGCAGCAATTAAATATTTAATGCAAATACTGTTATTGGCGATGCAAACCATCAAAAGTGTCAGGGAGAGAGGGTAGGGACAAAATCAAAATGGAGTTGGAGGAGGAAATAAAGCACTGTATCCCCCTGGTATCCACCTCTCTCTAAAGGCATCAAGAGCATTGATGGACACTCTCGAATGACACTCAGGCTTCAACGTAACCGCAGAAAAGGGGCAAGCAGTTGGCCGTGTCACCCTCTCCACAGCCTTCTGCCTGGATCTGTTTATTGCCAGCTTGGCCAGGTCCAGAGCTGACCCACAAGGAGGTCCTCCAATTTTCCACACCCCTCTATACTGGGTGCCAAAAGATTAGGAGCATGGAGCTGAAGTGTAACCAAAAACATAAAAGACTTCTCAAGTAACTAAAAAGGGGATGCAAATGCCAACAACCAATATTACATGGTCCACGGATTTCACAGCGCCACAAAATAAACAGTTGGGCTGGGAGTCCTTGAGCCATTGCAATTTGCATTTGTAAAGGACTGTTGTGAGGGAAAAAGGGAGGACTCCAGTGTAGAGAGCCCTCCATCAGGTCTCCCTGCTGGTTGACGGCAAATAAGCATGCCAAGGCACGTCTGGGTGGCGGACATAAAAGTTGAGCTGAATGGTGTGTCGCAGCAGCCTGTATAGAAACTGCCATTTTGCAATCCAAAAAGACATACTTCACACATTCAGGAAGTGGTTCAGTTTGTCGGGTGCAGCCTCCTGAATGAGGTTCAGGACTTTGGGGCCAATGTGAAATTGTGTCTGAGCAGGGGTATGTGCGGATGAGATTCCATTACATACCTCAGCATTGTCCAAGCATCCTATAGTGGTCACCAGAGAAGCTGATTGCTGCAGCCAGCTTTATCCAGGCCACCTTGACAACTCCGGCTCTTTCTTCCATCTCTTGGAAAGAAGATCTCCCCTAATTTACAAACTCCCCTAAGCAGCGCCTCTAGGGAGGCATTGCTGAACCATGGCACTGCTATTTGCAGGCTCTGTGACATCAATAAACCTGTTGGACTATAACTCGGTGTTGTGTGAGTTTTAACCTTGTCCACCCCAGCCCAACACCGGCACCTCCACATCCAATCATGGAGCGGATGGGGATGATAAGCAAAAAGAAGATGCTCCTGGATTGCAGAGAGTTAAGTGCTACCCCGGTGGCTTTTAAATATATTGTGGATATTTCCGATTGGGCCTACCTGCTCGGCCTGAAATTTGCTATTTTACTCGCGCATGTAAATATAATATTAAAAGAATGTAACCTTGCAAGAAAACCCAACGTGACCTCCTGCAGAGGTCCCTCCAAATTTTTGGGTTAGTCTCCACATTTAGCTTTAACAAAGAATCTTTATACTTACGCATTGCAAACGTTCAATAGTTTTACGCAGCCACATCCCCCCCCCCCAACAACGGGGAAGATTGTTGGATTTGTTCAGAGCTGAAGTTATAAAAGCACAATCGTACAATCAGTGTTATTTTCGGTTTGTCATTATTTTTGCAGTGTGTGCCAACTTTTCTGAGACGACGCATGCTCTCATTTTCTGTAAGGAAGACAAGCAAAGAAACACCGCAGGGTGGCCCAGCGCAGTCTGAACTGTATAAATAGTTGGAAGAGAAACTCCCTGCAGCAACTATTGACGAATGTTATGGAACTAACCGCTGACTTTCTTGACCGAGTTTTATTTCAATTCTCCTAATTTAAATAGAGTGAAGGAAAGCTTGCAGGGCGGACAGGTTTTTTATTCTTGAAACTCCTAGCATTACTGATTGTAATGTTAATCGAACTCTGGTTTAATTAAGTGAAAGTTACTTTCTATTCTTCTTTGGCAGATAGTTCGCCAAATATCTGAACCAGAACACAGCTTTTATTGTTCTTCCAGGAACTTTTACTCATTTCTTCCGCTGTCACCATGGATTCAAGCAACCCAGGAACAACATTGCTTTTAGCTTTGCTAAGTGTCCTGCTTGTTGTATGGTTTTTTAGAAGCAAACGGCCGCAGTACAGCAGACTTCCTCCAGCTCCTCCTGCCCTCCCGATTGTCGGCAACTTGTTCCAAATGGATATAAAAGCACCTCACAAATCTCTCATCAAGGTAAGAAATCGTGTTCCATTAAATAATTCAAATGAATCTTTCTGAGGTGGAAATCCACAATAGCTTGTCACACCTGGGGACCTCAACCAAGGGACCATAATAAAACTGTAAGCCTAATGAGCAATGGTAATCTGTTAAGTATGTCACAGCCAAACCCTACGCTGTCTTTAGTCAATAGAAAGAAAGAAACAATATAATTTACGTAGCTCTTTTCATGATCTCAACATTCAACCATTCTCTTATTTAGTGAGGGTTGCTGAAGAGTGTTCAGGAATGAATGGTTGATTGGATTCAGCAGCACTATCAGGGAGGCATTGTGTTGAAGCTGGTGAGTGGAATTTTTCCAGAGAATAAAAAGCATAGGAAATAGTGAGAAAGTTGAGAGAATTGGAAAAAAAAATGATTTTTGACATTGAGAAAAACAGTCCAATGTTTTCCATTAGGTTTCAAGGGCGAGATGTAAACCTCGTGAGGGCCCTATTTGCATGCATTAACCTCTCAATATTACCTAATCATGCTGGTGCTATTCATCCAGGTACTAGCGAGAGACTAACCACCCACGCCCTCCACCTCCTCCAGAACTTCCAATTCCCCGGTCCCCAACACCTCATCTTTACCATGGACGTCCAGTCCCTCTACACCTGCATTCCCCATACAGATGGCCTAAAGGCCCTCCGCTTCTTGCTGTCCCGCAGGCCCGACCAGTCCCCCTCCAGTGACACCCTCATCCGCTTAGCCGAACTCGTCCTCACACTCAACAACTTCTCTTTCAATTCCTCCCACTTCCTACAGACAAAGGGGGTGGCCATGGGTACCCGCATGGGCCCAAGCTACGCCTGCCTCTTTGCAGGTTACGTGGAACAATCCCTCTTCCGTACCTACACTGGCCCTAAACCCCACCTCTTCCTCCGGTACATTGATGACTGTATCGGCACCACCTCGTGCTCCCACGAGGAGCTCGAACAGTTCATCCACTTCACCAACACCTTCCACCCCAACCTTAAGTTTACCTGGACCATCTCTAATACCTCTCTCCCCTTCCTGGACCACTCTGTCTCCATCTCGGGCAACCACCTAGAAACCGATATTCATTTCAAGCCCACCGACTCCCACAGCTACCTAGAATACTCCTCCTCCCACCCACCTTCCTGCAAAAATGCCATCCCCTATTCCCAACTCCTTCGCCTCCGCCGCATCTGCTCCCAGGATGAGGCATTCCACTCCCGTACATCTCAGTTGTCCTCGTTTTTCAAGGACCGTAACTTCCCCCCTCAGTGGTCGAGAACGCCCTCGACCGTGTCTCCCACATCTCCCGCAACTCATCCCTCACACCCCGTCCACGCAATAAGAACCAAAAAAGAATCCCCCTCGTCCTCACGTACCACCCCACCAACTTCCGGATCCAAAGCATCATCCTCTGACACTTCCGCCATCTGCAGTCCGAACCCACCACCAAAGACATCTTTCCCTCCCCACCCTTATCTGCTTTCCGGAAGGACCACTCTCTCCGTGACTCCCTTGTCCGCTCCACACTCCCCTCCAGCCCCACCACACCCGGTACCTTTCCCTGCAACCGCAGGAATGTTACACCTGCCCCCATACCTCCTCCCTCACTCCCATCCCAGGCTCCAAGAAGACTTTCCAAATCAAGCAGATGTTCACCTGCACATCTGCCAATGTGGTATACTGCATCCGCTGTACCCGATGTGGCCTCCTCTACATCGGGGAAACCAAGCAGAGGCTCGGGGACCGCTTTGCAGAACACCTACGCTCGGTTCGCAATAAACAACTGCACCTCCCAGTCACGAACCATTTCAACTCCCCCTCCCATTCCTCAGATGACATGTCCATCCTGGGCCTCCTGCAGTGCCACAACGATGCCACCTGAAGGTTGCAGGAACAGCAACTCATATTCCGCTTGGGAACCCTGCAGCCCAATGGTATCAATGTGGATTTCACAAGCTTCAAAATCTCCCCTCCCCCTACCGCATCTCAAAACCAGCCCAGCTCATCCCCGCCTCCCCAACCTGTTCTTCCTCCCAACTATCCCCTCCTCCCACCTCAAGCCACACCCCCATCTCCTACCAACTAACCTCATCCCGCCCCCTTGACCTGTCCGTCCTCCTTGGACTGACCTATCCCCTCCCTAACTCCCCACCTACTGGTTTTACTGGCTCCATCCCCGCCTCTTCGACCTGTTTGTTTCCTCTCCACCTATCCTCTCCTCTATCCATCTTCTATCTGCCTCCCACTCTCTCCCTATTTATTTCAGAACCCCCTTCCCCTCCCCCTTTTCTGATGAAGGGTCTATGCCCGAAACGTCAGCCTTTCTGCTCCTATGATGCTGCTTGGCCTGCTGTGTTCATCCAGCCCTGCACCTTGTTGTCTCAGACATTATCAATTCCTGGCTTGAAAAATAGTTGCAGCAACTCGGTGGCTGGATATCACTGGTATCTTCTCTGGGCCTCCATTTTCACCAGTGTTATGTTGGTGTTTCTCTTGGAACCAATATTTATATACAATGTATACAAATGGTAAATCCGAACAGAAACATGTTTTATTGACAGTGCTCACACCTCCACAGCAGGTTCTAGACTGACCTAAGCGCTGCTCCTCCAGGCCACGTGACTAGCGCTCTTAAAGGGACAGAACTCCCAACTACATGCAGAACGCCTCTTCCCCCTTTATTTTGAAACTCCCATTAATAGACGTGTACAACAGTTACCAATATTATACATATTTTGGCTACACTGCCCATTATATCATCAGTAATATTTACAAAAGCACGGCAATCACGGAAGAATGACTACTCCCCCTTATACAAGGAGTTCTGTCTGTAGGCTAGATTAGTCTTTCGGGGGATGGCAGTCCCTAGAAAACTGTCTCCTTGTCTCAGGAGCCTTTTCTAGTGTAGTCTTGTGGGCTTCTGGAGCTTCTGTTGATCCGCAGATATGTCCCTCTCTGTCTGCGGCCTTGTGACGCTGTTGTCTTCTCCTTGGGTATGACCAACCCTGGTTCAGTGAGACATGGCTCAGTTGACACTCCTGGTTCCATCTGGACCGGCTCGGTATTCTGAGGGACATCCTCACTCCCGTTGATAAGGTGCGATGACCAACTTGTCTGTGTGTCTCCTCCAGACCAGTTCATCCCTAGTCTGTACCATAACATGACTGTTTGAACCACCACTAAGATCCATTTTTCCCCATACGTATAATTCTGGGCCAACACAGTCTGTCCTCTTTCGAATACCCTTGAACTTGAGGTTCCCACCCTTCTGGCCATCTATTCTATTTGATTTCACCCTACCATTCTCTGGATTCTTCTGGCCACAGTAAATCAAATATGGTCGTCAGTTGACAGGTGAACATTAAGGATGCTGGTGAACACTGGTACGTCACGTGTGGCATGTTCCAATACATGCTGTGGAACTTGTTGATTTGCTGTCCTAGTGACCCCTTTAAGGGTAAAGCCTTTAAGGCCTGCTTCAACGTTTGAACAAATCTCTCTTGGCTGTTTTCACATGGTGATACAGAGCCAATCTCACATTTCTGACTTCCAGGTACTCTCAAAATCTTGTGCCACAAACTGTGGACCATTATCACTCATGACTTGTCTGGGATTCCTGAATCTGGCAAATATTTCATCCAGTCAGTTTACCGTTGCTTCCGCTGGTGCTGACTTTATGACCATCACTTCGGGCCATTTGGAACGGGAATCCACAAATGGCATCTGTCCTTCTATTGGTCCTATGAAATTGGTGTAAATTCACTGCCATAGTGTTTGAGGCCATTCCCATGAGTGAAGGGGTGATAACAATGCAACGACTGCCACAAACATTACATTGGAGAGACAGGAAGTAAACTAGCCATCAGAATACATGAACATCAGCTAGCAGCAAAATGATATGACAAACTTTCCTTAATATTAGTACGCTCTGACAATGAAGGCCATCAATTTAACTGGGACAACGTAACTATAGTAGCCCAAGCCAGACATAGACATGCATGGGAATTCCTAGAGGCATGGTTCTCCACCCATAATGCAATCAACAAACATATTAGAATTGGACCCCATACGCAAACCCATACAGAACAACACCGGAAATGAGATTACCCACCATAACGGACAGGACAGTATAAATTCCAAGTGGGATAGAACAACATCGCTTCATCTGAGGCCTCACTGATGTTATCCAGCATGGTGATGAAATGTCTGAATGAAAACAAGTCAGCTCGGTGAGCAAGTCAACAACCTAACTAGTGGAGATAGTTCTCAATCAAATCTGAGGTGTGTCAAGTGGGGTTACAATGGTTGTGGCGCAAGCAGAGCGCGCTGCAACATCTTGGGTTGCTGTGTTCTACACAAATGGAATAGGCAACAAGGTAATGTGCTTGATGCAAAGGAACTGGGAGAATCAAGCAGTCTTCTGAGGAAGAGGACGAGGACACTGGGCAGGAGGAGCTATTATTATTCATAACAGAGCTTAACTGCTATTCGTACCACAAGCCAGACAGAACCTCAATGTCATCCATTTCCAACAGAAGAGAACTGGGTGCAGCATACAGTTGTTGATTGTTAAACTGTTTGGTCATGACGTCTAAATCAGGTTGGCATTGGGGAGATAGTAGCACTGACTTAGAGAATGTTCAGACAGGACATAGCTACAGAGAAGTATGGTGCATCGTGTGGTGGTCAAACAGGTCTAGGGTGAGCTAATGGTATTGTATGTGCCAGGAATTTCAACCATGTGCTATGGGAAGCATGACCTGAAACTGCTGTGCCATTATGTTAACGATGTGAGGCAATGCTAGATTACCAATGCTTGCCTCATGCACAGTAGCTTTTCAAAGATGGCGCAAGTGATAGTGGTGTTTCATTGGATATCTGCTGAATGGCAAGTTGTTCTGGGAATGGCAGTGGTAAGAGGAGTGGAAACTGGGCCTGAGAAACATCAAAGGTCGGGCAGGTAGGTAATGAAGCAAGTTTGATAAGATACGATGAGACAACTCATTAGGCCTCATGGCGAGAAACTTGATGCACTTGGATTTAGCCAGCAAAATGTAACATTCACCCCGAAGTGTCATACGTTAAATAAGTATGGGTTGCTTCAAGCTAGTTTGCAGTAGATACAAGACAACAAAGTAGATATAAGTCACATTTGAATAGCACCCTTTAATATAGCAAATGGCTGAAAGTTCCTTAAGTTCTACTAACCTTAAGCTCCGGATTTCTGACCTAACAAAGTTAGGATAAGTTAGCTTAGTAGCACAGATGGTTGCACCTGACAAGCATGTTGGAGAGCAAATCAGAAGCCAGTAACATAAATCATGTGCAATACAAAAACGGATTAAAATATACCTCACCAGGCAATGTCAAAAATTAAAACCAGATACATGAAATGAAGCATTCCATCCTCCAACACTAACATTCCTGAGCTAATGAGCATAAAAGGAAATATAAACTAGTACTCTGATAAGTGCCTGAAATTCTAAGTAAATTGTCCAATGCAGATTAGAGCTGGACAAATGAGATGTCCCAGTTGTGATGCCCTAAATTTGTATTGAATTCTGTAACTGGTCTCAGAGATATAGATTAGGAAAAAAGGACGATAGAGTTTTTGCTTCTGGATTGATAAACTGGAAAAGCATGTGTTTGGATGTTGGACAACACCAGGATGAGATTTAACCTTGAGGTTCTCCACAGTTGTGGGGAGTGGGGCTATTTTCTGAACAAACAGATTTCTTGGTCTTGCCGTCATTCAATATATTGGATGATATAATGAGATTAGTAAACATTGTGATGTTGACCAGGATTCAGCACCTTCTTTAACAGTTGTTATTTATTGTGTCTCTACAGCTGAACGAGCAGTATGGTCCAGTATTCACTCTCTGGTTTGGTGGCACCCCTGTAGTGGTGTTGTGTGGCTTTGAGACTCTGAAAGAAGGTTTGATTGAGAGAGGGTATGATTTCAGTGGCAGGTATCTATTACCGATCCTCCAAAAAATTTCAGCTGGCTATGGTGAGAAACTTCTTTTACTCTGTTAAATTTACTGTTCCTGTTTTTTATCCCCATAATATTTCAGCATTTAGGGTTATAGAACACACAACACAGATGGCCGTTATTCCATTGAGCTTGTATATTAGATCATTTGCTTTAATTATTGCCACATGTATTTTGTAATAAAATACATATGAAAAGTGATGTACAGTGTTGCCTGGGACCATCTTAAAAAGCAGAAAAATAAGCGGAGATATAGAATATAAAGGCAGAAAATTAAAGAAATAATGTTCAACTTGACAGTCCTTTTTATTAAGTGCTCAGCCATGGGCCTGGAGCGGCCAGTCACGAGTCCCCTTGTTGTGCCACTGGAACCAGAGTTGCCTCCCTGGTGCCATCTCGCCTCAATCGATGCTGCTGCCACCTTGAGTCCTCCCTGGACCTCGCTAATACAGCCGCAGGATCCTGCACCAGCCCAAACTTCCCTCCCCTGCAGCCAAGAATGCGCTCTGGGCCCATCCCTTCGATGCAACCACCGCGGATGCCGCCAGGCCTTGTACTGGGCTCAACCTTGTTTCTGCTGCCATCTCCATGAGTCTGTGCTGGATGCAGACACTGTGAGGAACCCGAACTCGCCTCCACTGCAGCAACTGAGTACCTACCAAATGCCTTTCTTTTGACTTCTCCCCCATTTTCTCAGTAATAATGCTAAATTTGTGGTGCTTTGTTGTTCATTTTAAAAAGTGAAGATTAAAACAAGGATGTTCAATTATCTACATCCGTTCTAATGGAACATGCTTTTACAAAGTACCTTTTCTATTTTCACTTTATCTCAAATATTTTAATAACCACTGAATTATATACTTCTGGAACTATATTACTACCGTTGTGCAGAATAATGTGGCAGCTAATAAGTAATAAGTAACTGCAGCATCTGCAGTTCCTACTATCTCTAATAAGTTCAGTGGTAAGTTATGAACAGTTTTGGTGATGTTGGTTAAAAGATAAATATGTACGCAAATCCTGTAGCGGAAATCGAACCCACAATTTAATTCTGATTTTTCAAAACCACATATATTGGATGAAACTTGATTTAATAGCTTCACGTTTAAAGATATTGCCAAATTCCTGCACTTCACTAGGGGAGGGAAGGACTTGCCCTGGCGGTCCTCAACATTTGACTCCAGAAATCATGAATTCTTATTCATCAGGTCATCACGGGCAAGAAAACTTCCTGCTGTTTACCACTTACTGCACTGTGCTGCAACCCCCCCAGTTGATGAATCAGTATTCTTCTAAATTGAACACCAAATGGAAGCGCTATTAGTGGCAAAAGGACTTTGGTGGGGTTTGGATTTTGAAGTCCTCCAAGACTGGTTGCATCATAAGATATATGGGCAGGAGGAGGCCATTCAGTCCAAAGCAGAATTGAGGATTATCAGATCAGTCATGGTCTCATTGAACGGCACAGCAAACTACTGACTGAACGGAGTCCGAAAGGAAATAACTGTTGGACTGCATCCGCAGCAGATAGTGAGGGAACCTATAAGACGGTTTATAAGGAATGATCTTGGCTTAGTCCTTGTGGAGATGAAATCCCAACTACACATTGAAGATACCCTCCATTGAATTTTGTGGCATATGACCATGCTAATGGGATAGATTTCAAACCGATATAGCAACTCAACACCTATAAGGCACTGTGGGTCAACAACAGCAGTAGAATTTGTATTCCACCATAATCTGTAACTTCGTGGCTTGGCATGTTCCCTGTTCTATCATTATTACCAAGCTGCATGGCCAACTCTGGTTAAATGAAGAATGGAGGAAGGCGTGCCAGGAGCAGAACATGTCATTCTTAAAAATGAGGCATCAACTTGGCAAAGCCACAACACATGCCAAAAAGCAGAAGTAACATGTGATAGACAGAGCTATACTATCCACAAACTTTGGATCAAAGCTATGCTTTATACCCCTGCCACATCCAGTGTGAATGGTGGTGGCCTATTAAACAACTGACAGGAGTAGGAAACTCCACAACTACTGTCATCCTCAATAATGGAGTCCAGCACATCAGCGCAAAAGGCATGGCAGAAGGATTTGGAACCATCTTCAGCTAGAAGTACTGAGTGTATGATTCACCAAATCTTTCTCTTGATGTCCTTTGCATCACAGATGCCAGTCCTCAGAAAATTCACTCAACATAGTATAAATGAACTAAAAATAGAAATTGCTGGAAAAGCTCAGCAGGTCTGGCAGTTAATGTTTCTCTGATTTCTCTCCACAGATGCTGCCAGAACTGCTGAGCTTTTCCGGCAAACGTTTTTTTTGTTTTTGATTTTACAGCATCTGCAATTTCTTCGGTTTTTATATAAAGAAAAACTGAAACCAACCAGATACTGCAAATGCTACGGACCCTGAAAACTTAATAGCAATAGTACTGAAGAATTTTTCTCCTAAATTAGCTACACCCCTAGCCAAACTGTTTCAGAAAAGCTAAACGTTGGCATCTACTCAGCAAAATGAAAAATTGTCCAGTATGACCTGTCTATAAAACACAGGAAAATTCCAATTCAGCCAAATCTATCAGTCTATTCCAGGTCATCAGAAAAGTGATTGAAGGGGCATCGAATGTGCTCCCAAATGATATTGCTCAACAATAACCTGCTCATTGATGCTCAGTTTGGGTTCCTCCATTGCCACTTAGCTCCTGAACTTATTATAACCTTGGTTCAAATATGGACAAACGAACTGCATTCCAGAAGTGAGATGAGAGTGACTTCTTTTGATATCAAGGTGGCATTTGATTGAGAATGGAAGTATTGGGCACAATCAAAAGTCAAAGGAATCAATTGGAATCGGAGAATCTCTGCATTCGTTGGAGAAATATCTTGTACGGGTAGACGGTTGTGGTTCTTGGAAGTAAATCATCTCAGTCCCAGGACATCACTGTAGTTGTTGTTCCTCAGTTTTTAGCTGCTTCATCAATGACCATCCTTCCGTCAGAAAGTGGGGATGTTGACTAATTGTGCACAATCTTTATTGCTGCTATGTAGAGAGTATGGATAAGCTCAGCTTATTTCCTTTGGAGCAGGGAAAGCTGAGAGAGAATCTGATTGATGTATGTAAGGTTATTAGGGGCATGGACAAGGTGGATATAAAAACGCTATTCCCCTTATTTGAAGGGTCAATAACAAGAGGCCAGAAGTGTAAAGTGAGAGGCAAGAGGTTTAGAAGGGATTTGAGAAGTGTTTTTTTTCACCCATTCAACTGAAAATTTCATCTCCGGTAATTTTCACTCGTTTTAATATCTCTCGCATAGGGATTGGCTTCAGTAATGGTGAGAGATGGAAACAACTTCGGAGATTTTCTCTCAGCACCTTGAAGAACTTTGGAATGGGAAAAAGAAGCATTGAAGAGCGGATTCAAGAAGAAGCACAGTTCTTGGTTACAGCTATCAGGAACAAACAAGGTTTCTGACTAAAGTATAATATTGAGAAACAAAGTTGTCTAAGTCATAGTCATAGAGTCGTATAGCATGGAAACAGACCCTTCAGTCCAAACAGTCCACGCCAACCATGTTCCCAAACTGGACTCGTCCCAACTGCATACGCTTGAACCATATCCCTCCAAACCTTTCTTATTCATGAACTTATCGAAATGTCTTTTAAACATTGTAATTATTCCTGCATTCACCACTTTCTCTGGCAGTTTATTCGACACATGAACCACTTGCTGTGTTTCAAAAAAAAGTTCCCTCCATGACCCTTTTAAATCTTTCTTGTCTCACCTTAAGGATATGCCCTCTAGTTTTGAACTCCCCCACCTTGGGGAACAGATCCTTACTATCCACATTATCTATGCCCCTCAACTTCCTATGCTCCAGTGAAAAAAGTCCTAGTCTTTCCTATCTGTTTATATCTCAAGTCTTCCATTCCTGGCAATGAAGTCTCCTATTGCAAACTGGGAATAGAGTTGGATCACTGCTGGGACACTGGGAAAGGATTCCGAAGGTTGACATTGTGGCTTCAGTTCTGAAGTTAGTTTTGTCCTTGGAGATGAATTGACTAAAACACAGAAGCTCAGGTAATCTAACAACTTCACTTCTTGTGATATGTATGTTTTACATAATTCAATATAAGCAGAATTGGTATATCATTCCAGGCATCTTGGGCCATTATGATTATCAGTAAGTAAAATGTGTCAGCCGATAGCTTCAGTTGTGGGCATGATTCTGTGATATAGAATGTGGCTTGTGCCGTATGCAGGGAAATTTTTTTTTTTGTTACTAAGTTCTGACTGTGATGCCTAGTTGATGGAGTTACCACTATATTTGACAGGTTTATCACTTCATGCTATATAGTAAGTTTGTTATAGGCACTGGCATTTTCTAGAAAGTGGAAGAAGGATGCCACAATCTCATTTGTACTTGAAGTTTAGAAAACAACTTGCATTTAATTACTGTCTTTCAAAACTTCGAACATACATACGAGCATAAGAGTTAGGAGTAGGGTTAGGCTTTCCAGTTCCTTCAGCCTGCTCTACCATTCACTAATATGGCTGGTTTGACTAATCTCAAATCTGCATTTTCATGTGATCCTGATAACCTTTGAACCCCCTTGCTTAACAAGAATATATCTAACTGTGCCTTAAAATATTAGAGGATCTGTTTCCACTACCTTTTCAGGAAGAGAATTCCAAAGACTCTCAAACCCCTGAGAGAAAAAAAATTGCCGTCCCTCTGTTTTGAATGGGTGATCACTAGTTCTAGATTCTCCCATAAGAAGCAATCTCTCCACATATGTCCTTTAGGATCTTAAAATGCTTCAATCAAGTCACATCGTACTGTTCTAAACTCCAGCAGATCAAGCCTAACCAGACCAACGTTTCCTCATAAAAACCCGCAAATCCAGGTATTGGTCCAGTAAGCCTTCTCTGAACTGCACCCAACACAATTACATCTTTCCTTAATTAAGATGAGTTGTATTGTGCACAGTAATCCAGAGGCAGTCTTATCAGTGTTCTGCATGACTGAATCAGACTTTGAATTCTCCTGCAATAAACAATAACATTATATTGGCTTTCCTAATTACTTGCTGTACCTGTACACTAATGTTTTGTGAATCATGCATAAATACACCCAGATTCCTCTGTCACTTTGCTTTCAAACAAATAGGATCTTCTTTAGAAATATAAATTTGTGGTAAAGAAAGATGCACATTTTATAGGGCGCTATCACACAAACCAAGGTACATCACTGAATTGCAGCCAGTGGTCTTGAAATGTCAAACACAGCAGCGCTTTTGCACAGCACCTCACAAACCGGGTGAGTCAAATAAGAGTTAAATGATGATGGTCAAGGATGACAAGTATCTGTTTGAACACATAGTAACTAGTGAAAATAGTGACCTGTGAAGATGTAGGTACTGTATTTATTTTGCTATTAGCAGAGATGGGAGATTTCAGCCAACATTCCAGGACTTGAAATTAAACTTTGCATCACCCCAATTATGGTTATATTACCTGCTGGAGGCTGGAATGTCAACTGATTGTATTGATTTATTGATTGAGCACTTTACTGAATGAGACAGTGAGAGGAGATGCAAATATGGGAGCAGAAATCCGAGAAAGGTGCAAGTGTATTTTAAAAGCAACTATACAGTGAAGGTACATTGCACACTGAACCAGAAATTCCTCACTGTTCAGATTCTTACTAACAGTGAGTAACTGAGTCACAAAGACCACAAACATCCTAGGCTTAATTCACTGAATTGGATGCTTCCAGCTAGAGTATGATGAGGTCACTACCAATGTGCTCAGTTCTTGGACTGGGGAGGTGAATAAACCAATTTTTCCCCGACCTGCCATGCAGTGACCCCACTCCCCCCTCCACTGAGAGTGCATGTAAGTGGAAATTGGATGAGAAGAGAATCAGATTCAGTAGTGATATCCCCATTATCAAACAGCCTGTTGACATTATTTTTGTTTAAAATTTAAGTCCGATCTTATTTTTAATAACCTATTAATTGTTAATGTCTGCCTCAGGGTGCTTGTATATCACAATATAGCTCTCTAACTGGCCTTATCTTTCAATGATATCAGAGATCCCATTTAACCCAGATTTTCTGGTGAGATGTGCAGTGTCAAACAACATCTGTTCCATTGTCTTTGGAGAACGGTTTGAATATGAAGATGAAAGGTTTCTAACATTGATGGAAAGAACTGAAGAAATTAGCCGTGCTTTAAGCAAACCTGGGGTGCAGGTACTTTAATTCTTTTGCAAGTATAATGTTATCAAAAATATTTCCAACCTAGTTATGTTTCCAGATTACATTCAAATATTGATTCAGTAAAGCAGTGGTGGAGTGATGATGTAGATGGGAGACGAATGGAACGTTAATTTGACATTTAGTTTACTTGTCAGTTTCATTGATTTTTCATGGGGGGTTTCATTCTATGAGGCTTAGCAAGGTCTCAACGCATCTTACCAAAAGCACCTCATTAACTGCTTACCCTGCCCCCATGGTGTCTTTCTCACCTGATTCTACCCCATTCTACCAAATGCTGTTACTCGAAGAACTCGCCACTTACTAGACATCTACCAAAAGACAGGTCTCTTTTACCCATGCCATCTTTAAAAGGCTACTATGCACCCAGCCAAACATTGGTAATCTGGCATTACACATCACTGGTAATGTAATGGCACAGCAGCCATAAAGCCATACTGTTCACAGCGCACAGCCATGGCTGACACTCCCTTGCACATACAACCCCAATCTCTCATCATAGTTGTGTTTATGCACCAGACCACAAAGTGTATCTATTCTAAGCCACATCCCATTTGCCACCCTATTCACCTGTACTCCGACCCCACTGTAGACCTGCATCTTTTCATTGTCCAATTTGGGATCATTATAGAAATGCAACAATTGGACAATTTGAAATGTGAGCTTTTATTTATAGCCAGTAAAAACAAACAAATAAAATGAACGAGAACCAGTTCAGCCCCACAATACATACTAAATGCTGGCATTGATGACCAATCCCTATTTTACTGTCCACTGTGGCTGCTGCACCCAACTCTTATCTACTGGAACCAGTGTGAATTAAATTCCATTTGTTTTGTAACACCCAATGTAGCTCAGCTCTGTCATGCCAGTGTCCTCATCATCCTCCTTGGAAGAATGCTCCTATTCCCCCAATTTGTTTGGCAATCAACACATCATTTCATTGCCTGCTGCACTTGTGCAGAGCACAATATGCTATGATGACCCAGCACACACTGTCCAGAATATAACTGCAGGGTCACCAGACTGGTCCACACAGTGGAATCAGATCTTCAGCTGCCCTACTGAGTGCTCCATCAGGGCCCTGGTCATCTGTAAAGTGACGGAAGGTCTCATCAATTGTACTATCAAGCAGCACTTGCTCAGCAATAACCTGCTCAGTGATGCCTAGTTTCAGTTCTGCCAGGGCCACTCAGCTGTTAACCTCATTACAGCCTTGGTTCAAACGTGGACAAAAGAGCTGAATTCCAGAGGTGAAATGAGTGACAGCCCTTGATATCAAGGCTGCATTCGACTGAATAAAGCATCAAGGAGTCCTAGCAAAACTGGAATCAGCAGTTATCAGGGGCAAACTCTCCACTGGTTAGAGTCATACCTGGCATGTAGGAAGATGGTCGTGGTTGTTGGAGATCTATCATCTCAGCTCCAGGTAGTGCCCTAGGCCCAGCCACTTTCAGTTACTTCATCAATACTCATCCCTCCAACATAAAGGTCAGAAATGGGGATGTTTGTGCAATGTTCAGCACCATTTACAACTCCTCAGATACCGAAGCAGTCCATGTTCAAATGCAACATGATCTGGACAATATCCAGGCTTGGGCTGATAAGTAGTAAATAGTGTTTGTGTCAAACAAATGCCAGGCAATGACGATCTCCAATATGAGACAACATAACCACCGCCCCTTGACATTCAATGGTATTAACATCCTCAGGTTTACCATTGACCAGAAACTCAACTGGACTTGCCATATAAACATAATAGCTACAAGACCGGTTAGAGACTAGGAATACTGAGGCAAGTAACTCACCTCTTGTTTCCTTAAACCTGTCCATCATCTACAAGGCACACGTCAGAAGTGTGATGGAATACTCCCCACTTGCCTGGATGGATGTAGCTCCAACAACATTCGAGAAGCTTGACGCTACCCAGGTCAAAGCTGCCCACTTGATTGCCACTACATCCAGAAGCATTCACTCCCTCCACCACTAACACTCAGCAGCAGTGTGTACTACCTACAAAATGCATAAATTCACCAAAGATCCTCAGACAATACCTTCCAAACCCATGACCACTTTCATGTAGAACGACAAGGGCAGCAGATACATGGGAATACCACCACATTCAAGTTCCCCTCCAAGTCGGTCACCATTCTGACTTGAAAATATATTGCTGTTCTTTCACTGTAACTGGGTCAAAATCCTGGAATTCCCTCCCTAAGGGCATTGTGGGTCAACCCACAGCAGATAGACTGTAGCAGTTCAAGAAGGTAACTCATGGCCACCTTCCCAAGGGCAACTAGTGACAGCAATAAATGCTGGCCAGCCAGCAATGTCCACATTCCCACAAATGAATTTTATAAAAGCAGGTGGCATTCTGTCTGTGCTCTGCGTCAGTCAGGGGGTTGTGTAATGGTGTCATCAGCCATGGTCACAGTGGGTAACCCTCGTCCCACAATAACCAGCCTTGCAAGGCACCCAGACCCTTAAATGCACGAGGTACAAGAGAGTGCTTTAGGATGAATCAACCATTGCAGCTACCAGGGTAGCAGGCACACATCTCCAGGAAGTGCTAACGATGATCATAGATCACTTGCACATTAATGGAATGTGAACCCTTCCAACAGATGAATTCTTAATGTTGTGACAGCTGATGGCACCGTACATATGGGGGAAGCTAGCTATGTTTCTAAACACTACTTCCCTAGCTGTAGCACTAACCTCATCATGGGGAACAAGTATCACCTCACACAGATGGCATCAGTCACATTAGTCTCATCATTCTCTGAAAGGCACTAGTCACATAGATAGATTGGCAAATATCAGACACTAATGTCCGTGGATGGGGGCGTGCGTGTGGCTGGTGCCCATGAATCATGCCTCGGAGATGTTGTTTTGTGTTGAGTAATATGGACGCTGTTCGTAGACAGCAGTGAACTGAAATCTCCAGGTATCTTCTCTGACTTGCATGTTAAGAATTTTTGGTGTTTAATTTGCTCACAGTGGATGGTAGGATAGGAAGCTGCATATTAATGAGAAAAGATTTGTGGTTGATAAGATCGTTGACCAGGCAATAATCCCCAGTAATAGGCACTCACCATTGCCTAGCGAGAAGCTTGCTTCGATGCCCGGAACTTAGTTAAAAGATGCAACGAGTTGTTCCTGACATTGAGATAGGCCTCGCTGGATGCCTGAACGATTCTGCCGCATTTTGCACAACAGCCCACGCTGTTTGGGCCCTGATAATATTCAGTTCCATGATTATTTACCGGAGCAGTATCTTGAGGCCCAGAATAATAGGCAGGAGACATGAGTTCAAATCTCAAAATGATAGCTTGTGAGTTTTGAATTCAGTTAAGTAAATAAACCCAGAATAGAAATCTCAAATCAATAACAATAACAATGAAATATATTTGGATTGTTGTACAAAAACTCATATGCTTCCCTGTGTCCATTTGGGAAAAACCTGTTGTCCTTACCTGCCCTGTGACCATGTCTGAAGTCAGGTCTTAATTGGGAGTTCTGTCTCATAGATGAGTCGAGCAATAACCTGACAGTCACACTTGCAGAACTATATTTATCAGCAAATGACACAGGGTCCTCCAGCATTAAATTACTATGATTAAATATGCACTGCACTTTCTCGCTCTTCTGCTTTAGTTGTGTCAGAAGCACAGATTAATATCTGTATTCTGCCAACATTTATGTGGACTGATCAGTGAAAAAGACAGTCTTGACAATGAAAACGTTTAATAAAAACAAATGAATCAATATCCCTCCATGTAACCTCATGGCCAGCTATATCCCTCACTCCACCATTACCATCAAGCCAGGAGACCAACCCTAGTTCTAAAATGAAGCAACATTGTGCATACCTATAGTAAGGGCCACCTGGGTGAACTAAATGCGCGGTTAAACAGCTTGAGTAGCATTCTATAGATAACGAAGTGATGACTTAATAAATTGATCAAAGATCTGCAATCATGCCATATATGATTGTGAATAGTGGTGGCTTTTAAAAATAACTAATGAAGGGTCATGATATTCACAACAATGGCAAAACCCAGCATGTAAATACAAAAGACAAGTTTGAGCATTCCTAACTAACTTCAGCCAGATGTGCTGGATACATTGGTATCCTCTAGTCCAGTGCTCTTTGTGCCAAGAAAGAAGATTGCTTGCTGTTATCCCATCTATTTCTTAGATTATTGTGTAGTCTTATCCCACGCCTTTCTTTTAACCAGTGGGGAAAAGGTTAGCCAGTAAACCTTTCTTCTTAAATTTCCCTATCTTCAATCAGGATTGAATCCCAATTGAACAGGAGGTAAAAATGTTTTTGAAACAGTACCATGCTATTTGTACACTACTAAACTTTTGTCTCTTGTTTGCTAAAAGCATTAATTTAGTGAAAAAAAATGTTTATTTTGCAGATATACAATAATTTCCCAAAGATCATGGATTTCCTGCCTGGGCCTCATCAAAAGATATTCCAAAATATAGCAGGCTTGAAAACCTTTGTGAATCAAATGATCCAAAGCCACAGAGATAGTTTACAGAAAGATTTCCCCAGGGATTACATCGACAGTTTCCTTAACAAGATGGATGAGGTACTGGGAATACTTTTAATTCTACATCCATATATTTCCAATTGTTTTGTCCTGTTTCCTGCTGGTAAGAAGGGGTTTCCTAGCCACTGATGTGGTGAATCCAACAGGCTTCAGCTTAGGTTACTACTAGCTAAACAAAACAGGCCCACATTTTGGAAACTTGTCATTAGCACTGCATTGGCATTATATACAAGCAGCTACAAAAATGCAGTTTGTATAAAGGTGCGATTTGTGTTTGACAAACTATAACAGTAATTAAAGACCATACAAGGCCTTTTAAGCTTTAAAGTAAACTTGATTTGCTTTCCTTCAGGAGAAACACAACCCCGACTCAGAATTCACTGATGAGAATTTATTGATGTCAGTGGTAAATTTATTTCTGGCTGGAACTGAAACAACTAGCACAACGCTGCAATGGGCTATCCAGATTCTGGTGAAGTATCCACATATTCAGGGTAAGAACTACGGATGTATTTTAACAGTCCAACACAAGGGTTTGTGTTGGAGAACGTGTACCTATTTCAAACACTCCAATGTAAATGTCAGACACAAATTTAGAGTACTGCATAGCCTGTTAAGAGCAATTCCAAGTGGTCTGTTCCTACATTGCATCAGCCATAGCCTCAGAACTATGTCTTACTCTACCTGCTTTCTGAAAGTGAGATTGCTGGGTTGAGCCAGATGAGGTGATCTGTTGTGCTCTTGGCTTCAATATCTCTTTTATTCTCAGTTGGAAACTCCTCCACTGCTGTATTTGCCTCCACGAAACTTAAGGTGGAATCTTATAGGGGCCTGAAAGACTTGTGCTACAGAAAGAGATGTGGCAGAATTGTGTGAGAAGTCCAGTGATGCCATTGTCATGAGCAGCTGTTGCATCTTTTAAGCATGTTCTGGCTCTCAAGGTGAGATTCTCGTCAGGGAATGGTGAATTGCCTTTTAAATGGGATATTGCTTGTTAACAACTTTATTAACTGCTCAGATCTCCACATTAATATGCAGCTTCTGATCTTACCAATATCGATAAGCAAACTAGATGCTGGAAGTCCTTGACATGGATGACAGAGTGTGTGCCTAGCAATTTCAGCTCACCACTGGCTTCAAAGGGTCTCCTTGTTGCTCAGTACGAAACAGTATCCCAGGACATAATCCATAGGCGAGAGCCACATGCTCCCTTTGTCCACAAACATTGGCATCTAATGTTTGCCAATTTGTCAGTTTCCTTATGTTACCTCTCTGATCCACTTTCAGGATGCTTCTGAAGCTCAGACTTGCATTGCAGGGCACACCTAGCATTGAAATGCTGCAGTGAGCAAATTTTGCACACAGAGACAGGCACCTAGCTTATGGTTTGGATCAGCTGCATCTCCGGGCTGCTGGACTTGAACCAAATTGAATGATTTGAATTGAATTGAATGATTGTCATTTGCATTTTACAGTGAATATTACAGTAAAATAGTGAAAACCTTCAGCAGTCACCACAATCCAGCGCCAATTTGAACAGTTTAAGAATTAAAAATATAACTGAAAGAGATTCTTTGTTCTGCTGCCTTGGCCATGAGCCCTGAGCCAGTTTACCAATGACACCTGCACCAGATCCACCATCGTAGGAGTCAGCACTCTTTAGGTGCCATCCCCAGGCTGCTTCCTCACTCACTCAGCACTTGCCTACTTAGCACCTACCACATGCTTGTGCCATGAATCGCTTTGCTTTCCTTTCTGTGGCAATTAGCAATAAACTGGAAACTTTTCCTTGCTGGTCAGCAGACCTTAGTCAAGGGGGCTTTTATAGAATTATAAGCCCTACAATGTGGAAGCAGGCCATTCGGTCCATCAAGTCTACACTGACTCTCCAAAGAGCATCCCACCCAGACCACCCCCTACCCAATCCCTATAACCCGGTATTTCCCATGGCTAGTCCACCCAACCTACTCATTTTGGACACTCTGGGCAATTTAGCATGGCTAATCTACCTAACCTTCACATCTTTGGATTGTGGGAGGAAACTGGAGCACCCAAAGGAAACGCACACAGTCACAGGGAGAACGTGCAAACTCCACACAGACCGTTATCCAAGGGTGGAATCGAACCCTGGTTCCCGATACTGTGAGGCAGCAGTGCCACTGTTCTTTTGGTGTATGTTAAATTAGAACACAAGAAATACAAGGACAGACAGATTGATGGGGAAGGGAGCGAGGATTGGTTAGGCAGAATGGGGGGTGGGGAAGGGAGGGACGGTCAGGCAGATGGGTGAGGGGGCGAACAGGTAATGGTAATCAAAAAGGGATATGGATACAAATTAAGTCCTAATAGTAGAAAATACATCAGCTTTGAAGAGAGCAAACAAGACACTGCGGGAGTGAGGGGCAATCAAAATGGAGATTAGTGTTCATATTCTGAAGTTGTTGAACTCCATGTTGAGTCCTGCAGCTGTAAAGTGCTTAAGTGAAAAGTGAGGTAATATTCCTCAGGCTTGCACTGGGCTTCGTTAGAACACTGCAGCAGGCTAGGACAGAAATTTTAGAAAGAGCAAATGATCTAGCTCATTTTTCTAACTCTGCCTGAATGGCCTCACAACTGCCTCGAGTTAAACGCTAGTCTTGAACCCACCCTTCTCTTCTTCCAAACTGAATGCAAAATTCAACCATATTACAATTTCTGCTATTATTAATTAATTAATCATCTCACACTGGACCATACCAGGTCTAGCATAACTTGCTCCCTGCTTCGCTCCAGATCACGCCGTTCTGAGTCACCATTTAGAAAACACAACTCATCTAGGCTATCTTTGTCCATCTGATTTTTCCAATCTATCATGAGAGAGAGAAAAAAAATATACACCACTGTTATAATCAGGTAACTTCCTAAAATCCCTTTTGTGAACATAGCCCAATCCATCACCATAAACCAATCTTCCATCCACTGACTCCATCTATACTTCCTGCTGTTTCAGGAAAGCAATCAACATAATCAAAGTCTCTTCCACCCTCTTCTGTCTGACAAAAGTTATGAAAGTTTGAATACACAGACACATTCAAGAACAGGTTCTTCCCCGCTGCTATCAGACTTTTGAATGGACCTCTGAAATGTTAATGTTGATTTTCTCTATGGCTGTAACTGTGTATTCTGCACTCTGTTTTGCTACCCTGCTGCACTTATATAGTATGATCTACACTGAAACAATACTTTTCACCGTATCTTGGTACATGGACAGCAATAAATCAAACTCAAACTAAAGGGTAATAGGGCAAACATGTGAAGGAAGGAAAAATGTGGGCTAGTGGAACTTACTGAACAGCTTGACCAAAGAGCTAACACTGAGACACTTGGACAAAGGACCCGCTTTGTGGCTGTATCATTCAAGTCTGACTACAGCAAAATCCAAACTTAGAATTGTGTTTTCAGTGGAGTGCACACGCAAGTAAGGAAATGAAGAAATCCAGTAACTTTTGCAGAAATCAGCCATTATCCAGGTAGGGGAAATGAACCACTGCAAAATTACCAGAAAATCTGAAACAGCAACCAAAACTGTGCAGTGACAAATGCAGACCAGGGTGTCTAAAACAAGACTTCTTTCACTTCTTAACTCTGGCCTTGGGAGTAATTCTCAAAAGATTTTTTCAGCTTGTCCACTGAAAGCAAGAACAGCCACATCCAGATCTATGTCAGTCAAGGGAAAGAATTTTCATTTACAGACTTCCTTGTCTTTGGAACTTTTCTGATTGCTTAAATGTGAGGCAATCCGTGTTTGTGTGGTCATCATTGTTACATGGGCAAATTCTATCAGTTTGCACAGAGCAAGATGCTGGTAATAGCAAGTTAGACAGTCAAGATATGGGGGCTTTGGGAAGAGAGAAGTGTGGTATTAGTTTGTAAAGTTGTAGCAAAGAGCCAGCATGGACTTAAACATTTGTTCATGGGATTTGAGCACTGGGGGCTCAGCCAGAATTTATTGCCCATCCCCAGAGGACAGTTAAGAGTCAACAAGACTATTGGTCTTGCTGTACAGCAATTTACCATGTCAATCTTACACCTACACCATGTGCAGTTTTCGCACAAACATACAGCAGTCCAGGAGTAGGTCGCATCAACCCCATGGCTTCACAGTGGCCAGTCCATGGGGTGTGACCAATGCAGTTATTGCCATATCAAGAGTTTGGACACTTCTTGTCCAAGGCTGTCAGGTTAGTTCAGTCAAGGGGCCAGCCACGGTCCCTTCATCATAAGGGGTAGGAGTGAGTAGGAGCTGTGGCCATGGGAAGATATTTTAGCAACCTAATCATGGGGCTGGGGGAAGCAAGGAAAACAATTGTGGAGGGGGAGTAACTGTGTTTGTAAGGGGCAGGATACGGTAAAGTATGGATGCAAACAGGGTATTGCAAAAGAGGGGGCTCATCTGGCTTTAAGTTGTGGCCAGTATATGACACACCTGGCATGGCCACCTCATATGCTAGGGGCTGTAGTGGAAGGGGAACAGGCAGATGAAGGCTTAAGAATTAAAAATAGAACTGAAAGAGATTCTTTGTTCTGCTGCCTTGGCCATGAGCCCTGAGCCAGTTTACCAATGACACCTGCTTCTCCGCTGTCTCGCCGCCACCTGCACCAGATCCACCATCGTAGGAGTCAACACTCTTTAGGTGCCATCCCCAGGCTGCTTCCTACTCACTCAGCACTTGCCTACTTAGCACCTACCACATGCTTGCGCCATGAATCGCCTTGCTTTCCTTTCTGTGGCAATTAGGAAGGGATTAAGTCAGATGAAAGTGGGTGGCATGACTGTTAGTGCTTATGTAAGTAGTCAAAAAATGCTGAGGTATCCTGGGCAATTGAGTAGGCAATGGAGCTGCCATGCATGTAAGTAGTTGGGGGTGGTGGGGTGTGGGAGTGAAAGCAACGACAAATGAGGGAAGATGTTGAAGGCAAAGCATGAGCCTTAGTGGGAGGTGGTACAATAGCAGAGATAGAGTGAATGTAAGGTAACAGAGAAGAATGTGGCAGTTACTCTGGCAGAGGGGAAAGGATTATTGACCTTCTTGTGACACTGCTGGCCATTTCTCCAGACCATAGAGATCTCACTAATCCAGGTAGTGACCTCAGACCAGGCTGTCAGGGTCTGGTGTTTTGGCATCCTCTTCCAGTCCTCTGGGAGGAAGATGCCCCACCTCAGGTGTATATTCAGTCTTTTATGTTTGGAAGAGAGGTTTTGAGACACATGTACAGAGTTGTCTGGTCTATGCCAATACAGTAAACAGCTTGTGAGGCCCTGGGGACTTGTTTTAAAAGTTGGAACAATAGAAGCAGCATGAATAAATGGAGTCAGGCTCCCACAGAGTCAGTGTTTTTAGTTTAGCTTTCAGCAGTTTTTAAGAGTTTTTTTTTTAAAAAGTTGGCCATGGAAGCTAAAGGCTTGGATTCACTCTCTGCCAGAATCATATGTGGGACGATCTGTTTTGCTGATTTTGTCTTTCCCAAGGGTGTATTTGTGGGATGTTACTATATTGGAACAGTTCCTGTTTAGTAGTTAAATAATCTATTATTTAATCTATTAATTTGTGTTAAATTTCCTAATCGAGTTAAAATTATACCAATTGTTCCTTCTTTTGTTTGTATTTTAACTGTAGGGTAAGAATAAAGTGTGTTTTGCTGAAAGCCAATTAATGTTAAATTACATCTGAAACACAACACCTTACACTTGCCTTTAAATAATATAAAAGTTAGGGTCTGGGCAATCTCCTTGATAAATTTAAAGGGGACTTAGTCTGGTCCACAACACTGTTCTGTTCTGAAGAAGGGTCACCGGACCCGAAATGTTAACTCTGATTTTTCTTCACAGATGCTGCCAGACCTGCAGAGCTTTTCCAGCAACTTCTGTTTTTGTTCTTGATTAACACCATCCGCAGATCTTTCAGTTTTTATCAGGATCACTCCATTCATCAGGATCTTCCATTCCTTGTTGGAGAATCATGGCAGGAAGTTTCAAGTTGGATTAGACTCCTGATGTTAAATCGACAGACTCTTCCATCTGTTCCCTCACTCAACATCTAGGGGAAAAACTGACCATCTGATAGGCCATCCTCTCTCGCCTTGAGCTTTAACTTTCCCCTCACCATCATGATTTATTGTGTTTTCTGTTTTATAAATACTTAGTTATTTGTACTCTGAATTTTCCTGTCCCCTCCCTCCCCATTCCAACTTTTACTTGTTGTCTCTAATTTAGAGCCAAATTTTTAAAATCAATATTTTATAAAACTTCATCACATTTCATCTTAAATCAGTACAGTTACTTAGCCCTTTGATCCTACCTTCTTTGTGAAAGCTTTAAAAAGGAAAGGCTTCGTGTGCTTAATGTTGGACTGAGGGCAATGGCTAATCCCATAGTTTCTATATGTAAAAAGAAACAAGTCCGGCTGTACTTGTGATTGGACGAGACTATTCTATGAATTAGGAGTCAAATAGTGCAATATATGCCAATCTAAGAAGTGTGACAGAAGACCAAAGTTGGAGATGCTTGTAAACTAAACACATTTTTCTGAAATAGATTGTTAAATTACGTTCCCCAGAGAAAATATATCAAGAGATCTGTGAGGTGATTGGATCCTGTCGAAGACCTTCTATTGAAGATCGAGCAAAAATGCCTTACACAGATGCTGTCATCCATGAGATTCAGCGATACATTGACCTTGTTCCTATGAATCTCCCACGTATGGCGACAAAAGATATAGAATTCAGAGGATACCTGATTCCTAAGGTCAGAATCATACCCATATAATGAGTCTTAGTTGACAGATACCTTAAGAAAGATACCTCATATAAGAAATTACTTCAGAAATTTAATGACAATGTGCACTTCATTCTGCACCAGCCTTTCACAAGGTGAGTGACTAGTTCCTCTGTTTTCAGTATCTGAGGTTGAAACCAAACATTGATAACAACATGAAAAGTCGCTACTACGAGTTGGACAGAACTGTGGATCTTTAATATTAACCTAATCCGCACCCCCCCAAAAAAAAAGAGATTTGACTTTGAAATTCTCACCTTTACTAGCACTTTAATATATCAATCTATATGGGGCTCATACTGAATATTGATGTAGATTCTTCTTTTCTTGTCTGATCTTATGATTCTGTTTTTAGGGCACACTTGTGACTACCTTACTTTCCTCAGCACTGAAAGCCACCAGCCAGTGGGAGACTCCAGAATCCTTTAATCCAAACCACTTCCTTGATGAAAATGGATGCTTCAAAAAAAGTGAAAGTTTCATGGCATTCTCTGCAGGTACAGTCTCCTCTCCTTTGCAGAAGATATCTGTGCTGTTCCCGGACTGATTTCCTACCACTCTTTAGACTGATTGCATTAGGTGTGCAGGACTGATTGTGCCCACTCCCTGGACTGTTGTGAAACAAACTTTGGACCTTGATTGTCCCTAGTGGCCAGCTGACCATGTCCAAACCACTGGACTAATCAACACCCTCTGTTTACTTTATTGGTTCCCCTGACTGAAGACTCCCTTAGCTGTGTGAGACTTTGAGACATGTTCATTTGGTTGAAGCATGCGCTAACTGTTCGCTATGTACAATGGCATATGGTGCAGGTATGAGATTGACGTAGCGTAAAGCTGTACAGCAGAATGTCAAAGTCTTGACTAGTGACTTTTGGCAACCATGATAAGCTGCCTGGCTTTGCATCTGAACAAAACGGCAAGAAATATGAGCCTTTAAACTCTGACAGAGGGGATTAAAGTGCAAAAAGACAAGGTAAGGCAATGTTGGGAGTATCCAAGTAGGTGCAAAATGAGGCGCGCCTTGGCCCATTTCATAATGTGGATTCCTGCCCCAACTCACAAATTATCTTGCCAGCAGCATTACAATGAAAGATGCCAATAGGCTGTAAAGTGCAGCATGGAAGTGCAGAAATGCATTCTGCATCAAAGGTGCGACATGGAGGTGCAGTGAGGAGAGTATACGTCCAATGGCAACCTCAGTAGATTGGGGAGTGCGTGTGGCCATTGCCCATGGAGCACACCCTGGAGATGTTGGTAACTGCTGTCCAAAATGAAGGTCTGGAGTCACCAGGTACCCAATTTGACTTAAATGGTCTTCATCTAGTTTCTATTTAGCAGGTGGCGAAGTAGGAAACTATATCTGAATGAGGTGAAATTCAGTAGTAATATATGATATATCCAAATAGGCTTTGTCACTCACTAGCGAGGTTCTCATCTCACTGTTCAAAACTTGATTGGAGAATCTTACTTCTCAACATCGAGAATCTCAGTTCTGCCTATCTCACCCTATTTTTTCCAAATGATTCAATGCCCATTAACTTGGTTTCCAATTCACAGATGTTGTTAGACCTGCTGAGTTTCTCCAGCACTCTCTGCTTTTATTTATTAAACATTCATTTATGCATGAAGAATAATGCTGGCAGCAACTTTAGGATTGTCAGATGGGCTAACAGTGTGGTGCACTTGTATGAACCGGAAGCTACTTATATTAATACACAAAGGCCCTGTTCTTTACAGACAAAAATCATGTATGTACACTGTACCTGTTTCAGCTTAATAAAGTAGTTGATTTCTCAAGGCAGTGCCTTGCTTAAGCAGTCAATCTGCTTGGTTTAAAATTTAAACAAAGCTTGGCAATTAACTATCTATCATCATGTGATAATTCTCATAGCAAAGCATCTACCAATCTCAGTCCACTTGGCAATCAATCAGCAGTCTCCTCAAAATATAAATGTTGTTTTCGCTTCACTTTGGTAATTCTTGCATAGTGTCCTGATGAAAATCTGTGACAATTTTTGTTTTGCAATACTCAAAAGGTGAGTATAGCGCAAGAAGGTACAGTTGGGATAGGAGATCAACTATGATCTTGTTGACTGTTGGAACAAGCCAGAAGAGTAAAGTAGCCATATCCAGCTCCTATTTCTTACATTCTTACAGAAATATGATCATGCAACTTATTGTGGTTTATTGGAATGTTTCATGCTAACACTATTGATCTAACTTTGCTGAGTACAAAATTTCACCTGGAGAAGTTGAGAAGTAAATCCAACATGATTTTCATAAATGTAACTGATCAACAGTTGAATACTGCAAGCAGAATTTACAGCTTTTTCTTCAATATTATCTCTGTTTTTGCAGGAAAGAGAATGTGTCTAGGAGCATCCTTGGCTCGGATGGAACTCTTTCTTTTTTTGACCACTTTGTTGCAGAACTTTGTCTTTAACTCTGTTATTGACCACAAGGATATTGATATATCACCAGCTACTAGTGGGATCATGGTTATACCCCATGTGTACGAATTCTGTGCCATTTCTCGTTAAATAATTTAGTATCTCAATAAATAATTTTTGCGGGTGAAATAAGAAAAAAGAAGATTCCCAAGCCTACCTATGGAAGCAGTGTATTTTGAATTTATGAATTTTAAATGCACCCTAAATTTCAATACCCAAAATCAGTTCCTTGTAATGGTGCATATTATTTTTAAGCCGCCTGTATAATAACAGTAGTTGAGATGTAGTTTTGTTATTATGTTTTATCAAATTTCCTTTTGATTTTTTTCAATCACATTTTGAATTTTGCTCCCAGCACAACTGAAATCGTAATTCATACTTATTTACATCTTGATTTAATTTCTCTAATATTGTTCCCACCTGTATTTCATCCTCAGCATCCTTAAACATTGAGTCCACATCTCTAGTACCCTGTAGTTGGCTGGACAGCTGGTTTGCAATGCAGAGTGACACCAAAAGTGTGGGTCAGTTCCCACACTAGGGCTCTCCTTTTTAACTTCTCCCCTCACCTGAGGCATGTGACCCTCAGGTTAAACCACTACCAGCTATCTCCTTCTAATGAGAGAGCAGCCGTATGGTCTGAGTGACTTTACCTTTGTTCAAAGTAAAGAGGCTTTAGTCATACAGAAATTAAAACTTGCTGCTTTTTTTTCTGGTCATTTTGTGAAAAATAATTTTGCCACCTTTTGAAATGCCACAAAATCACCATCATAGTATATTATTCAAAATGAGAGTTGAGTATTTCAAGGACGAGTCCATGCTGTCTTTGGTTCTGCTTTCAAAGATCATTTGTTTTGATTGGTAATTTGTGGCTTTCATGGAAAAAAAATGAAATTGTGGTATAAAATAAGCTTGGGTAAGAATCCTGTACTTCCATTTATATAGAACATAATTTTTCTAATCAGTTACTATTAACCATGAAGTTCCTCTAAATTATGAAGAATGAAAATTTAGATTCCTCTGGTATGACCATCTAGCTGGTCTGTCTAATTATCACTTTGGTATTTAAAAGACTGAAAATCCTTCACATTTTTATGTACTCCATATATAGTACAAGGGAGAAACGTTGAGTTCATCAATAGCTTGAGTTACAAAGCCACATGATGATCAGGACTTTTCTGGGTTGTCTGCTATTTTTTCATCTTAAGTTTTGCAAGTTTTCTAAGTTGCCACATACATTCCCTGAAATGGAACAAAACAAGCCACAAGGTGACTCATTTCCTGGCTTGGAGTTTCCCTATATTTCTGATCTGAAATATAGTCTGAAGAGCAATTCCTTTCAACAATCACAGACTTGCGTTACTGAACTGCTTTGTTGCTTTTTCAATTGAGTAGTTAATTCCTCTGATTATAAGCAAAGTAAAAGCTTAATTGTTGTAGTGGATCTTTAGTAGTGCCTAGCATTGCTATTTCTAAAGTGAACTCTGCTCTAATTCAATGAAAATTAATTTTCTTTCTCCCTTGCTTGCGGACAGCTCTGAGTATTGAGATAACATCGTGTGGAGCTAGAGGAACACAGCAGGCCAAGCAGCATCAGAACAGCAGGAAAGTTGACGTTTTGAGTTGGGACCCTTCTTCAGAAAAAGAATCCCGACCTGAAACGTCAACTTTCCTGCTCCTCTGATGCTGCCTGGCCTGCTGTGTTCCTCCAGCTCCACACTTATCTTTGACTCTAGCATCTGCAGTTCTTGCTATCTCTGAGTATCAGATTGCAGTCTTTATTGCTCCAACTGGAACCTTTCTGCATTCCACTACCCAGAAATAACCCTGCTTTACATTTTTAAGTATTCTGCTCATTATGTGGTTTCTTAAAAACAAACAACCTGAGAAAAGGCAGGCTCCCCACAAGTCTCGTACCCTCTCAATTCTTAGCAATATGTTCCAAATGGATAGGAAAGCTTCTCGCATGTCTCTCTCATTAAGGTAAGGAATGCATCATTCATTTTCATTTGCTAAATACTGTAGAGGTCTACTTTTCAACATTTTGCCCTCTTCTCAAAGCTTTGACTCAGCCTGGAGCATAAACTCATGGTGTCTGGACGCCCTGGGAATCTCATACAAATCCAGCCTAACAGTTTTAGAATAGGTTTTTGTAAGTGTCAGTGATTTACTCAAAGGAGACTCACAGCCAAACCAAATATTATCTTTAATCAATATCAAAACATGTTTTTGTTTCAGCTAACATTACTTAATAACATTCCTGTCACTATTCAACTAAGATTATCTGATCTGGACAGTCCAACGATACAAGTTTGAACCTTTCTATGTCCCTGTGACCCAGTACATAGGCTACAGTTACACACTTAGCTTTCAAAGTGCTTTACTTCCCTAAAAGTCTCAAATGCTGGGGACACTGTTGTCTATCATTGGAGTTCTGCAATGGTTCAAGTTAATGCTCTGGGGGCATGGATTCAAATACCAACATGGCAGCTGGTGAAATTTAAAATTCAATTAGTACATTTGGAGCATAAAGGTAAAGCTAATCTCATTAATGGTGACCATTGTGATGATGCTTTCACTTTGAGGTTATTGTGTCCTGTTTTTTTTTTGAAGAGTGGTTGTAAGGCAGAGGCGCTAAACTGTCTGGAAGAAAATAAAGAATTTGAGACATTGGGGTTTTTAAAAAAACTTGGAACAGTGGAAGCAGCCTGGGTGTGGTCAGCTCTTGCAGATCAGGCTTTCTAGTTTTTGTTTATTTTTAGTTTTAGTAAGGAGCTGTTTGGAATCTCAAAAGAGTTGGAAGCTTCAGTGAATGTCCTGTAGCTGCTATTTTCTCTGAATCTTCTCAATGTTTTTTCCCTCTCTTGGGTTGGAGAACTGAATGTGAGAATCTACGTCTGAATCTGCCTTGTTGCTAAGGGGTGCGTTTACGGGACGTTACTCTATTCGAACAGTTAAGTAGTAATGGGTATTGTATCTAATATTCGGTTAAGTTTTCCAATTATTAAGTAATTCTAAATTCTTCTTTCTCTTGTCTGGATTTTAACAATGGTGTTTAAATAAATGTTTTGCTTAGCGTCTAATAGTCTGACTGGCCGCATTGCATCTGGAACACAGCACTTCACATTTGCCTTAAAGTTAGGGCCTAGGCTACCTTCTTAAAATATTTTGAGGGGTTTTAGAATAGATTTGTAGCTCAAGATGTGGATGTTGTGGTTGGTTGGCTCGCTGAGCTGATTCATTGTTCTGCAGACGTTTCATTACCCTGTTGGGTAATGAAATGTCTGCGGAACAACGAACCAGCTTGGCGAGCCAACTAACCACAATATTTTGAGGGGGTCTGGTCTGGTCCATAATACCATGGTAATAATCATCAAATGTTGTAAACATCTACCTGGTTTACTAATGTTCTTTAGAGAAATTTTCTATCTGTACCTGTTCTGACCTATGTGACATACAAGCATCATCCGACCGTTTGTGACTTCAAGGAGCCTAAGTAAAGTTCAAGACAGTAGGAGTTGGGGAGAAAATGTCCCTAGCGCAAATGGAACTCTTCCTTTTCTTTAACCCTGCTATCAACCGAAAGGGAAGTAATATCTCACTGATTATAAGAGGTTTATTGGTTGTGCCAAATGATTGAGTTCTGTGCCATATCTTGCCAAAATAAACTTGGACATTAATTCACTGAGAATTGGTAAAATGAAAATTTTTGTGACTGATCCATTCTTGCTTAAATAGTAGAATCACATTTGCATAGAGAACAGCTATGCCTGTCTCATTCATTAGGTGAAACGAATTACAATGCAACACTCAGTATTGCAATGATTATGCATTCTTCTCTGGAATGGGGTTTGAACAACAAACCTCCTAACTCAAGTAACAATGCTACTATTGATAAATGTTGACACTTCTATCTTACATTTACTCTTCCCAAAGACAGTGTGATGTCCAGTGTCCAGAATCATGACTAATAAATAGTTGCACAAGTATCTGCTATTACATGTTAGCCACATTTTGTGTGATCTAATTTCCTGCTTATGTTACACTACTCATCTACACATGGTTGACTGCACAGTACACTTTATATATGCGTGCTCCTACCTGCATCTTTATTGGGTCCAAATTGAGTCATTGCACTTCTGTTTTTTTAGGACCTCAGAATCATACAGTTCCTTTCCTCCTTGTATTATCTGCAGCCCACAAGTTTATAAACTTGAAGAAATTTTTGAATTTATATAATGCCCTTTGCTACTCTTTCCCTAAAGCTCTTCACCGCCAATTATTTAACAATAAGGCTCTTCTGACAGTGAAAAGATACAAGAATAAATAATCTGTTCCAGAATTTGTTGACAAATTCTCTTTACTGGCAATAACTACAGCAATTTGCTGCATAAAAATGATGACCATATGAAATGGATCAATATAATATAATATAAAATAAAATTAAACAAAAAAACTTGTTTTATAATCATACAATGAAACTGTACATGGTTATATAATATGTAATCTTATACAATGATTGATCATTAACACCTGTCTAAACAGCTACAAAATAAAAGACAGTCTGAATTATTCACTATGTACTGGATTTGATGCCGTATTTTTTGAGACGCAACTGTGATAATCTTTCCTATACTTAAAGGAAGGTCATTTGAAGATTAGAGGATGACCATAATTTGACCTGTGTTTCAGACTTACCTTATACTATATTTTATGAATTGTAAACATTTTACATAGTAAATGAAATGTTTTATCCCACAAATAAAACAAACACTGGAGATCTGGAACAAAAAAAAAGCCCACCAACTGGAGGAACAACACCTAATCTTCCACCTAAGTACCTTACAGCCTTCAGGACTCAACATGGAGTTTAACAATTTCAGAGTTTGAACACCCTCCTCTGTGCTTGTTACCTGCACCCTGAGGTCCTGTTCTGTCTGGGTTGCTCCCAGCACAGCCAACCCATTTTCAACTATTCACATTTCTCATTGGTACCTATTCAGCATTTCCCTCCCTCCTGGCTTATCATCAGCAATTCCTTTGTTGCCTCCTTTTGTCTCTCTTGGCACTGTCTTCATGTAGTTTACTCACTACCCCCACAAGCCATCATCATAAATACCACAATTTCTCAGCTGCTTTCAGTTCTCATGAAGGGTCACTGGACTCAAACTGTTAACTGTTTTTCTCTCTATATATACCGCCACACCTGTTGAGTTTCTCTGGTATGTTCAGTTTTGATTCCTATAAGATTGCCATGTCTCTCTTTCTGTGTTACTTTAAAATTAAAAATCAATCAATCTAATAAGATATCTTATGACACATCTTTGTGCCACTTGGACTTGAACTTCTGGCCCAGAGGTATGAACATTACTGCTGCATCACAACAGTCCTCCTATTTCTGTATCAAGAAGTACTTAAACGCTTATATTTGTCTTTTTCTTATGCTACTCTATGACTTAGACATTCACTGGTAGTGTTCTTTAGATAAGTAAAGAAAACTTCAGATGTGCTCATGCAGACTTTTCACTGGTCATTTATTGCAGATAGACCTATCTACGGAGAGTATTAGACTCTCCAGAACACATGATAAAATGAGGCAAATCAATTGATTTAGCATGGCAAGTATAAACAAAATGAAGCATACACAACATTTGAAGCTACTTACCTGTGTAATGAGGAAGTTGTGCTCCAATCATATGTGAATGCCTGATTAAATAATTCCGTGTTTATTTTCTGTTAGGTAGTAAATGGTGCTCTGTGGCTTTCTTCCTCTCAGAAATTTCCAACAGCCCTGAAACACCTGAGATGTAGATATGGCTCTTGGTCAGCATGTAATTTGGAAATCTATATATACCAAAGAAGCTTTCAGAACGTTGGAAACATATGTTCAGCAGGCACAGGAGAATGTCTGAACTATCTTTGTAAAATCTTCTAAAAAATGTTCCCAAATTTTGATCAGTAAGTTTAATGTGTTCACTGCGCTGCATGAGCATTGAAATTAGAATACTTTTTATTTACTGTTTTTCAAACTAATGTTGTATTCAAAATGAGGATCAGACTGCCATTTTTTGTCAACTAACAAGAGTATCAGGGGCTGCTAAGGCAGCCACAATATGAGACTCTCTCCATTTTAGCTGATAGTGTGCTACTGCCTGAAACTCAAAAGAATTAGGAAAAATGGCGATGGGACAGAATGCCTTAAAATTTTATGATGTGCATTTAATCAGTTTTAAACTTAATAAAATGTATTCACTCCATGTTCACAATCACAGCCCAAACAAACAATATTTGTTCTAGAAAGTATCAGTAATGTAGAATTTATTCACTTCAACTGATTACTGAATTGCATGGTACAATAAACAGGTCCTAATTTGTAATTTAGAAAGAGCTGAAACAATTTCATTAAAATACAAGCAAATTATTTTATCAATTTTAAAACTCAGGAGATTGGGACAGTTGTATGTTGCTTTTCCTTGAGCAATTCCTGAATCACCCGAGGCACAGACTTGCTTCTATGGAACTTAGATATAGAAATCAGCAAGTGCCTGTGTGGAGCTAAATTATTTTAACAGTAAAGTTACTATCACTGGTTTCACTGGTTGAAGGATGGGGCAATGGAGATCGGAAGAGGTAGGGAAGAAATTCTTGCTCCTAGTCACTATTCAGTGACTGCTGTTACAAAATATACATGTCTGGACACAGTAAAAGCAGTATCACACTATACTGATTCTTTTCAAAACAGCATGAACTGACAGGACATATTTTCTTAATGTGTGAGGAAAATCCATTGAAAGGCGCACCAATACAGAGGTACATCTCTGTAACTATGTTCTATGAAATAAGCTAGATGTTCAGGAAGGAGACAAAAGCCTGGTACTACAAGCTATTTAAATGGAAAAAAACTCATTACTTCCTCCCCAGCAATATTGTAGTTTTTAAAACCTTTGGCACATAACGAATAGTCAGGGATATTCGTGTACTTCTTTGTAAAACCACTCCAAGTTCTGTGTTACATGATTTCAGGTTAGCAACCTTCTCTGTGACAATGTCCTCTGTCACTGGCCTGATGCCATGCAGATACTTCACATACATGTCATCTTGCAGCACCAGAAGGCTACGCGGCTCAAGAAGAAGAGACAGAAAGTAGCGATTTTCTTCAGTCTGAGGAGAATAAACCTGAAAAAAGTGGTGGAGGAATAATGTAAGATGCAATTTGAAAGATACTTATTTTCTCAAATTTTCTTTTCTGCAATCTTCTCCTACATCTCCTGATGGCCTGACTCTCTCTTGGATACATTTCTGGTTCTACTGGCATCAGTCATCATCCAGTGTTTCATCAAACTGGTAAATTCATGTATGAAGCAGTATCTTGAGCAACAGACTAAATCATCAGAGCTTCATTCTATTCAAAGGCACAAAATTCCAGAGATTGCAGATAGAAATCAGGCAGAAACCCCAACTGAATGAGGAATGAAATCTGAGATTTACTTGGCCACTCACATAATAAATTCACTTGAACCAGTGGCTGAACTAAAACAGATAGGAAAGTTTACAAGTGATCTTTAAAGTGCTGTCCTACTCAAGAAAGATAGGTACAAATGCACATACTTTGACTGAGTCTAATGCAATCTACGAGAAAGATGTGAAAATAAGAGGGTTGTTTTGTGGTGGGTGATTTTAACTTCCTCCATATTGACTGGGACTCCCTTAGTGCTGGGGCTTTGGATGGGGGAGCAATTTGTTAGGTGTGTCCAGGAGGGTTTTTTGAAACAGAATGTAGATAGTCCAATGAGAGAGGGGGCCAAACTGCACCTGGTCTTGGGAAATGAATCCGGCCAGGTGATTAGGTGATTCAGTTGGGAGCATTTTAGGAATAATGATCTTAATTCTGTACGTTTTTGGATACTTATGGATAAGGACAGGACAAGACATGACCTCAGATGAAGGTGTTAAATTGAGGGAAGGCCAACTTTAACCAAATTAGGTAAGAATTGCAGAATGTGGATTGGGAGCGGCTGTTTGAGGGTAAACGTACATCTGACATTTGGGAGTCTTTGAAGACCTGTTAATTAGAGTGTAGGACACAATGTTCCTGTGAAAACAAAGGACAGGAACGGCAGGACTTGGGAACCATAGATGACATGGGTAATTATCAGCTGAGTCAAAAAGTAAAGGAAGCATAGCAAAGGTTCTTGAAACTAAAATCAGACAAAGTCCTTTAAGAGTATACAGAAAGTAGGAAGGAGCTCAAACAGGGATTTAGGAGGGCTGAAAGGGGCAATGAAATGTCCTTGGCCAGCAGGGTTGAGGAGAATCCCAAGGTATTTTATACATATATTAGAAGAAAGAGGGTAACTAGGGAAAGAGTAGGCTCACTTATGGATAAAGGAGGGAAGTTACGTGTGGAGCCAGAGGAAATGGCTGAGATCCTTAATGAGTACTTCACCAGGTCAGATAGGATCACAGAGTCAAAGTAGGATCTATCCCAGGATACAGTGGGAGGCAAGGGAGAAAATAGCTGGGGCCTTAACAGATCTTTGCATCCTGTTTGGCCTCAGGTGAAGTTCCAGAGAATTGGAAAATGGCCAATGTTGTTCCTTTGTTTAAGAAGAGAAACAGAGATAATCAGTGAGCCTGACATCAGTGATGGGGAAGCTGTTGGAGAAGATACTGAGAGACAGGAGTGATTCACATTTGGAAGCAAATGGACTTGTTAGTTACAACTGAATGGGTTTGTGTGGGGAAGATCATGTCTCACCAATTTGATTTCAGTTTTTTGAGAAGTTGAGTAGGTTGGGCCTGTAGTCACTAGAATTTAGAAGTGACCTTACTGAAACATACAAGATTCTAGAGAGGATTTATAGGGTAGATGCAGCAAGGTTGTTTGCCCTTGACAGAGTGTCTAGGGCATGAGGTATAATGTCAGAATAAAGGGTTGAAGATTTAAGACAGAAATGAGGAAGAATTTCTTCTGAAGGTAGTGAATCTCTCAAACCTTTTTACTATAGAGGGCTGTTGAGGCTATGTCATTAAGCATATCCAACGCTGAGAGAGACAGATCTTTTTAATCAGTAGCAAAATTCAGTAGTATGAGGAAAAGGCAGGAAAGTGGAGTTAAGGATTATCAGATTAGCCATGATCTCAGAATGGCAGAGCAGACTCAGTAGGCTGAATGGCCTACTTCTACTCCTGAGTCTTTTTGTTTGGTGAGGTTAAACAACTATAACGACAGATCAACTTGCACTTTAGATACCCAACACCAGCTTATCACTACTTGACTCAATCCCTCCACTGTCTTCAATTTGTCATTCTGCTTATCTAACAGCCAGAACTGATTGAGAAGTTTCTTCCAATTAAAGATGGAAAAGAGTGAAGCCAGTGTCTTCTCTCTCCACAACAAACTTAATTTCCTAGCCAAAGGCTCCATCCTTTTCTCTGGCCACAGCAAAGCTGAATCAGACTGTTCAGAAGCTTGGCACCCTTGACTATTACTTGAGCTTCCAATTTCACATCCACCTTATCATCAAAACCATTTGCTTATCTTCAACACACTGACCAAATATGTTCTTAACTCAGTCTATCTACTGTTGAAAGCTTCATCTAATGGCCCCCAAGAAAGTCACTAGATAGTATAACAGCCCTGAATAAAAACTGAATGAAAAGAATTGGTGAACATTCACTCAAAGGAATACAACTTGGAGGAAAATTGAAGAAGGCAGCTCATGACATTACACACGACAGTCAAAGAGTCAAAGCCATCAAGAGAGATGCGGGGGCAACAGGTAAACAACTCAGGTCTCTCTAGTGACACTTCTTCAACAAAGAGTCTTCTTCCTGCTTTACAAAATCAATCGTAAAAAATTGGGTGTTTGAAAAATATTTTACATGTTGAAGGTTATTAGAACATGTCATGTTTCACAATTGGCTGTTCAGGGAAAAATTATAAGCACCATTTAAAATAAAACTGAATAAGTACTTGAAAGATCGGAAAGAGCAGAGAAATGGATTGCCCAGCTCCAGATGAAGAGTTGGAACAAATACTGACATGATTAGCTAAGGAATCTGCTTATGTGATATCAATTTTATATTTAAATAAATGTTCAAATTGGTAATTTTGGGTAGTTCTAGGAAGTGAGTGATTCAGCCCTTATTTATATCTCTGTAGCACATATCTGATTTTGTTGATATCCTACCTTTATGTAAAATACATTAATCACTTTATTGTCACAGTTGGACTGAACAGAAGATTCAATTTATCCATGAATTTTTTATACATGTTTTGTTTTCGCTTTCTAGCCAGGGCTTCCCCATACCAGGCAGCATCTGTTTAGGCCAGCGATGTTGAAAATGATAGCTGCTCAGTACAAACGGGCTGAGAATTCCCCTACATAGAGCCAAGATGATGGCTACAATGTTAGTGTAACTCATCATTAATTATACTATCAGAACAAACCCGCAGAACCCTTTTTAATGGGAGAACTTTACTACTCCTTTCCCATTCATTGAGTCATGTTGCACAATTCCTGCAACAGCACTCTTGTCATTAACTCAAATTAATGAGAAATGGAATTTGAAAAAGTAAAAACGTGTTTGTATTAATTAAAAGCACGTCCATAACATATAAATCAGAATTAAGGTTACTAACCTTCCCCTCTTCATCCTCTCTTTCAATGGGATGATAGAAATCTAATAGAGTTGGAGAGCCAAGGCTGATAGTGGTAACTGTTGGAAAATATAAAGGCCCATCCTCATGAGGCTATAAAGACAAGAGTCTGATTTCAATCAACAGCTTGATAACTTTAACAAGGACTGTTACACTTATTTGTCATGACAAAACTTTGCATCTGTGTCACGCCTCTAACATAAAAGGTGCTATCAAGCAAGATAGCTAATGTTATTCAATGTTTGGCATAAAACTACGTTTAATACTTTGTCCATCATTTGGGTTACATCTTAATTTTTTACCCAGTATCCATAATGGTGTGAACTGTAGGGCGAGGGGGAGGAGAATGACAGAGGTGGAGACTGGAGGGAGCGAAAGAGAATGGAGAGAAATTTGACAGCAATTTGCATTTATAACAGTACCTTTAAAGCAAATTCTCCCCGGAAGTTTCACAATTAGATTAACAAAGAAAATGAGTCAGTATGGGAGAGATATTGAAGAAATAAACCAACAGAGATAACAGAAACAAACCAAAAATAAAAGAGCAAAATGAGCAAGGATGAAATGACAGAGCATAGAAGAGAGCTGGAGAGAACATATGACAGAAGCATATAGAGTGTAAGAGAGAAAGCAAGCACAAGAGCTTGAGAGTGGAAAAAGGTAGATGGCACATTCTCTCCAGCAGCATTCCCTGAATTGTTTTAGTTGAGTAATGTGACTGGACTCTTTATAATAATGAAACTTAAGATAATCAGACAAACTATTAAACAATTGTTGATTATCATTGGTCAACAAAAGCCACTTATTTCTGTATTATACCAGTACCATTATTCCTTCACCAGGATTGTACTCATTAACCAACACATGATTAGCAACTTGTCCTGCAAAAGGTCCCAGGGATGAGATTTTCTTGGCATATTTAGCCAGCCAGTCCGGCAGTTTCTCAACAAGCATTCCCTTTGAGTGAGGTAAACCACCTGCAAGAGATCAGGAAAACTGACTAAAAAATAACCAGAACTGTACCCAATTCCATTTTCATATAAAACCTGAAAGAACTGTGGATGCTGGAAATCAGAAACAAAAACAGAAATTGCTGGAAAATCTTAGCAGGTCTCAGCTGAACGTTGCCAACAATTTCAATTTTCATATATTATTTTCTTCCTCATTTTCCAAAGGCACTTACTCATTACCGACAGTCAAATCCGAGAATGACACTGCATCATCTAAATTCTATAATTCTCACCATTATAGCTTAAACATAAGGTTGAATCTTCCTAGATCCTGAATGATATGGATATTAGTGGATCAGTTGGGAAGATATGGCAAGATTGGCAGAAATGAGATTCTCAATATTGAGAAAAACAAAACTGATTCTGCGACTATGTTTTGAACAGCAAGATGAGAATCCCACCGATGAGTGTCAAGAAGTGTATTTGCATACATTGACATGGTATTACTAACCAATCTCACCAAACTGATATACAATTTCCTATTCTCCCACTTGCCAAAGAGAATCTAGACAGTGACAATTCATGACATGGAAGTCAGAACGGTACCTGGCGACTTCAGCTCACTTCTGGTTCCTCTGGGTCTTCATCTTGGACAGCAATCACCACATTTCATGGCATGCTACATGGGCAGTTACTGTCCGCACACCCTATCTATGAGGGTGGCATAGGACATGTACCAGTATCACCGCACCTTCATGGCACTTCACCGCCCCACTTGCAATACAGTTCTGCAATTCAATTCTGCATTCTGGAGGGCGCCAACACCTTTCATTGTCTCAGCAGCAGCATTACATGTTGTGCGCAGGGACAGGGACCCATCTCATAGATTTGGCCAGAGTACATTTAAGGGTTCCTCACTTGTACTCTCAGTGCTCATTCACTGGTGCTCACATTACTTATTTTGTTTTGCCTTTTCACACAGACACAAAGTCAGGCAACATGTCATGTTTCTCAACATGATCAATCAAAGAGATGGACTTAGTTCTGAAGAAAGGTCAGTGGACCCAAAACGTTAACTCTGCTTTCTCTCCACAGATGCTGCCAGACCCGCTGAATTCTCCAGCAATTTCTGATTTTGTTAAGGAGGCGGGCTTGTGCTGTACAGCACTGTGCTACATCAATCTCATTCCTGCGCCTTTTGTCAGCAGTGTGCCCAACAAACAGACTAGATGTGTTCAACCAACTAGCCATTTCTCAAATTTGAGGAGAGTGAGTCTAGCAAAGGGCGACAGGCTGACAGTGGTTCCCGGTACATTAAGTCGAGGCCATTGTCTGCTAACCATCCAGGGACATAGACGGTCAGAAGGTCCGTATTCACTATAGTCTGGGTAGTGGGCCATGGTCAGTCCTACAAGTCCAGTGCATCCATTGTGGAGAATGGTGGTAAGTCAGTCGAGAATCTGCACAGGGAGCTGGACTGGTCATTCATCAGTCGGGGGCTGTCAGTCCCATATGGTCGGGGATGGGTCACAGTCAGTCCTGCAGATCAGATGAATGAAAGTCAAAGAGAAGGTTATCAGGGCACTGTTGTGGTAGGGAGGTTGCAGAAGTCAACTGTGGGTATCTAAGGTAGCAAGCTGGGATGCAGAGGACAAACTCAATATATAAGAGATTTTGAAGATAGTGCATTGAAAGACATACGTTACTGAAGGAGGCAGGTAGGGTTATTGATGGTCACAACCCCTTGGCATTAACAGGGGGACAATCCAGCAGAATAACTGGCATGATTAGGCTGCGGGGCTGGGTCTCTTAGAAGATGAAGCTGTAGTTCAGAGGTGTGGGAACATGTGGAAGTTCAGTACCGATGAGCTCACCAGGGAGTTCAAGGAAGAAGCAAACATGGAAGTTTAGGGGGAGCTTGATTACCAGGCTGTGCTTGCAACTCATTGTTCCAAGTTCAACCTTTGATGCTTTCCATGTTTATGTGAATTGTAAATGCACACTGGAAACGGAAAATGGGCACGATCATATGCAAGGCATTTGCACGAATCAGGCACCTTTATAGTAAAGGGTGATGTCACCTGCAAGCATAGTCCTCTTCATGTGAACTGCATCCAACAGTCAACATATGCACCTAGGTTACACATACAATTATTTTCAGAAGTTTCAATGCAAAGGCCGTAATGCATCTTGTTATTTCAAAAAGGGATTAATATATCAAATTCTATCATGGCATCATATCTTTTGATATTGCCCTCACTTCCATATAGAATAAAGGAGGGTTTTATGCACACTCACTCCCATCACACAGGTCTGTACTCACCCCAGTTCTGCAGCCTCCTTCCTAATAATTGAGTCCATTTGGGTTTGGGCGAGTTGTAAACCTGTAAGTCACACATGAAGACAGTGAAAAGCATAACATTTTCAACTTATCAAGTCATCCAAATAATTCTTTTTTGTTTGTCATTTATCACAGCATTAAAATAACAAAATCTAGAATGGATTTTAAGAGGCATTTATTTTGAGTGTCTATCCAAAAAAATCAGTACTAGGACTGGCTTACATTTTCTCTCTGCATTAATTTTATATTGATGAAATATCAAAGTTATAAAGACACATTTGTGGCTTTTGGCAATTTTTATCTGTTCTCAAACATTATACTTAAGGGGTACATATTTTTATACTTTCCAGGGAACCTCCTGGGAAGCACATATACGATGCCAGGTGAGGACAGTCCTCAGAAGTTTAACCACACTGCCAACTCTACTGATGCCAGGTGCCAAAGGAAATCCTGGGCCTTGTCAACAATGTGAAATAGGACAGATTGTAAAGATGTCTCTTTGTATTCATCAATATCAGTTAATTTGTTAAGTTTAGTTTTGTTTGTAATTGTTGAAAAATCAAAATGCAGTAACATACCTGCTGTAGCAGATAGTTTTCTTCTGAAACAGTGATAAATTTGGGGATGTAATACACAGTAGCTGGAGCCTAAAGGCGATGCAAAATGATACTTCAGAAGAACTATAATTATCATGACACACAGTTCGCCATAACATTACCTTAATATGCAAACTTCTCACAGATATAATTTTATATATATTTTCCCTTTTATGAATATTTTCTCTTGCATATATATTTTCCAGACCAATATATGTAGTATACAATAGAAAAGTATTAAATATAACATAATGGAAACTGTTACAAACTTGAACTTAAATATTGTCCCTATTTGCCTCAATGGATCTGTATTTCAATTTTGTTACAGTTGACATAACTCATACTGGGTAGTGATTTTATCAGAATATATTTTTTGAATTGTTTTCACAGGATGTGAGTGATACTGAAGGTCACATTTGTTTCTCATCTTTGTAAAGGTAGTGGTGGGCATTTTTCTTGAACTGCTGGAATCCATATGCTAACAAAGATCACATAACAGTGATTTTGTGACAATGCAAACTAATACTTCCCTTTAAACCCAGCAATTGCTTACTTAAAACAGCATGTTGGCAAGTGGAAATCACACACATTCTAACAAAAAGCGGGGAAAAAATATGGACCGTCTAATAATTAAACGGAAGTTGGTATAATCTTGCCTCTACCAGTGTTCCCCTATTATTTTGCTAAGTCACAAGATAGGGAGTAGGAACACAACTGAACCTCAGCCTACGCAATTAGATAGCAGACAGACCATGAATGTAAAAGAAAGTAAATCTGTTAAGGCATAGAAGTAATGTGAACCCTCCACCTCATCCATATATAAAGTCAGATGAAGGGAGAGGTTTAGAAGAAGGGTGTGGCATGGTAACATCAGGTGGTGTGGGGAATTGATCCGACATTATTTGTGTCATTCTGCAATATAAACCAGCCATCCAGCCCATTGAGCTAACCAACCACCACCTTCACATACTCCATACAATGCACTAACCTGATCCACATGATAAGGCTTCAATTCACAAGGCCTATGATTTTGAGCATCCATGATGGGCTCAAACCAGTGAAGTTAACATCTCATCTTCTGCTCTGGTTGGGGCATGGTTAAGATCATGGATAGCTGTACTGTAACTTCACAAGAATGGAAGAAGGTGAAATTAAGATCTAAATAAACATATTTGGAGCATGTTCTAATTTCAAGCCACAAAATTAAGAAGTCTCACAGGACCAATGCAGAATATTTATTGCCCATATGTCCACTGTGTACACTCTTAAATTCTGTACAATGTACTCCAGGCAGCAGAACTGCCATGGGTCTCACTATGGACCTCTTTAACTCAACTCTGTCAATTAGGTCAACGGAGATGGTACACAGAAGCCCAAATCAAGGATAAACACCTACAATTTATTTGTTCTCCATTTAAATCCCTGGACTGTGCTAAGGTAATTGATTCTGGATCAGGTTGGGGTTATTTATGAGGACAGATTGAAAAACTAGGTTTCTTTCAATTACAGCAAGGAAGATTATGAGGAATTAATAGTCTTTCATGTTACATGATTATCCAGATGTTAATAAAGCAAATAAGAAAAATAAAGTTGCTGTGTTAGTAACCAGAGCGCATAAAACTAAGGTAATTAACAGTGGAATAATTGGGAGCAATTTTAAGCAAAATCTTGTGAGGATATGGAATGTCCTATAAAAAATGACAGATACAGAATACATAATAGACAACAAAAAGTGAATAAATAATCAAAAACATATATTTAAAAGGCCAGGGTTAGTAGGATCAAATAAACTGGCACAGATACAATAGGTAGAAAAAAGACACATTTATCCTAAATGCCCACTCCAATTTCCTCAAACATTATTTTATTGTTTCTGTTAATCTTCCAGTTTCATGAAACAATGCACATGTAGCTAATCAAATTATTTGGGGATGAGGCAGCTTCATGAGGCTGAAAAAAACAATTCATGAGATAGCTCCTGCCAAAAATGTCACATGTGAAGCAATTATCAGGTATCATTCTAGTTTGTTCTGTTTCGTAAAAACCAAAAGAACAGCGGGTGCTGGAAATCCTGAACCAAAACAGCTGGAAAAGCTCACCAGGTATGGCAGCATCTGTGAAGACAAATCAGAGTTAATGTTTTGGGTCCAGTAACCCCTTCCCCAGAACTGATGGTAGCTAAGAAAATGTTGATTCTTATGCAGAAGGTAGGGTGGTGGGAGGGGTTAAGGAGTAAACAACAGGTGGAGATAGGGCCAAAGAGAGAGAACAGTTGGATTGACAAAGGAGTGGATAACAATCAGCCAGGGAGAATGAATAAGAACTATAAGTGGCTAACAACAGGTTGTGAGTAATAGCAGACCATGTGGTAACAAGGCCTGGTGTGTGGAGGTTGGGTAAGGACATGGGAGAAGGGGCCTCAAGCCCTAAAATTGTTGAACTTGATATTGAGTCCAGAAGGCTGTAGAGTTCCCAAGTGGTGCAGTTCTTCCAACCTGTGCTGAGCTTCACTACAGCAAGCCTGAGACAGAGATATTGGCCAGAGAACAAGGTCGTGTGTTTAAGTGGCAGGCAACTGGGCCTTTTTTGCAGGCAGAATGTAGGTGTTCTGCAAAAAGGTCACTCAGTCTATGTTTCATTTCTGCAATGTAGAGGAGACTGCTTCTCTTGAAATATGTGTTTGGTTCCTTGCACACTGAGGAAGGAGAAAGTAAACGGGCAGGTGTTACACCTACTGTAGTTGCAGGGGAAAGTGCCATGGAGCTGTGGGAGGATGTTAGGAGTGAAGGAGGAGTGGACCAGGGTATCCTGGAGGAACAGTCCTTCCAAAAGGCTGACAGGGGAGGGGAGTATGTGTCTAATGATGGTATCCCATTGGAGGTGGTGAAATGGCTGCTCATGATCCTCTCGATGTGGATGCTTGTGGAATGGTAGGTGAGGGGAAGGGGTCTCTATTGCTTATTGTGTGAGGAAGCGAGGGCTGAAGTGTTGGAGATGGTTCGGACTCGGCTGAGAGCCCCTGTTAACTATGGTGGTGGGAAATCCTCTGTTGAGGAGGAAGGTGGACATTTCGGAGGCCTCCTTTTCGAAGTTGGCATTATCAGAACAGAATGTGACAGACACAGAGGAACTGGGAGAATGGAATAGAGCCTTTACAGGCAAGGTGTCCCCTTTATTCATTCACACAATGAAGGTGTTGCTGGCCAGGCAGCATTTATTGCCCGTTCCTAATTGCCCAGAGGGTAGTTAAGAGTCAACCACATTGCTGTGGATCTGGAATCACACATGGGCCAGACCAGGTAAGGATGGCAGTTTCCTTCCCTAAAAGGCATTAGTGAACCAGATGGGTTTTTCCCTGACATTCAGCAATGGATTCATGGTCACCACTAGAATGTTAATTCCAGATGTTTACTGAATTCAAATTCCACCATCTGCCATGGTAGGATTCAGACCTGGGTCCCCAGAACATTATCTGGGTCTCTGGATTAACAGTCCAACGATAGGACCACTAGGCCATCGCCTCCCCAATGTGTGTGAGGACGTGTAGTCAATATAAATGTGACTCAGTGGGTTTATCGTGGATATTGGTGGCCAGTCTGTCCCCAGAAATGGAAACAGAATTGTTGAAGTATTTCTATGTTCTGCATAATGTCCCTATCTTCTGCATAAAAACACTTTCTCTAAGCTACCATCAGTTCTGAGCAAGGGTCACGTAAACTCTTGGTGTCCACAATTGCTGCCAGACCTGCTGAGCTTTGCTAGCAATTTGTTTTTGTTCTATTCGGTGTTCAGTCAAAAATCAATTCATTTAACATTTATTCATTTTAATCCCATGTTGGAAAATGGGGCTATAATGGATAGGGGCTTGACGACCAGAGCAGACAGGATGGGCCCTAAAAAAAAACTTATTTTTCCTCCTCTGCTCTTTTATTTTCCATTTTCAAGTTAAAAGTGGCCTATTTTCTCCTTGCATCTCACACCTTTTGCAACTTCGGTGGTCACTGTCTTAAATTTAAAACCACATCTGTCTTCGGCGCGAGCGGGAAGGGCTGGATCTCGAACATTCAAACGGCAACGGTCGCGCCACGAGCGGCTGGGAAAAAAAAACGCGGGAAATAAAATCTGTGTTCAGAAGATGGGCCAGCACGTGGTGGGGGAGAGACTGGGCAGGCGCCAACGGCCAGATGGTGGACGAGCAACTTGGGGGAAATTTGGGAAGGTGGAGTAGCCGCGAGCCCCCGTGGTTCAAAACCCAACGGCGGGTGCGTGAGCGGGAACAGCGTGATTGGAGGAGTCGTCGGAAAAAAAAACTTAAGGGCTTCCTCCTTCCTCAGAAAGTTGAAGGAATTTAGCCGTGGAGGTTTACAGGGCCCTCCATTTTTTTTGGGAAGGGAGGAAATAAATCCATAGCTACCCCTCCTCTACATCTCGGGCAGTAGTTTCTTTTGAAGGGCACCGGACTCGCAGCGTTAACTCTGTTTTTACAGCTGTTGTTGCGTTTCTCCAACGATTTCTGGGTATTTTGTTTGTTTCAGACCTCCAGCGTCCGCATTTTTCGGTTTAATGTTCAACGTCCTCACTGTGCATCGGTAACTTAAGTTTCAAACGGCAGGAAATTCAAAGGGCGTTCCGTTATCACAAGCCTCCTCTCTGCAGGGGAATCGGAGACTTAAAGGATGGAAATCAGAGATACCTGTTTTTGATATATCTCTAAGACTTGCCCAACGATGGTAGAAATCAAATCGCTAGTTTACTGCATTAATGCTGTGATTATAGAGTGTCGTAGGCCGATGTCAATCTTATTGATTGACAAAAACATTGTCCAATCAACTAGAGAGCAGCTTCTCTGTTCTGCTGTATAGACAACATAAGCAGGAAGATGGTACCTATGGTTGTCCAAGTGTCGCCGAGGTTTAATATACAAGATAAAACCTAGTGGGTGCTTGGGTATCACTGCTGCCCCCTATCCTGGATGAGCACTATGCTAGAATTACCCGTGAAAATTGATGGACCTGTAAATTAATTCTTTACTTTCACCTGAGAGTTTGACGCATTTTACTTTCTATCCTCTGGAAAAGAGGAATTGGATAAGATGCAAAACAAAATCATGTTAACTCTAACGGCTCAACACCATGTGGAGCTGGAGGAACACAGCAGGTCAGGCAGCATCAGAGGGACGGGAAAGTTGACGTTTTAGGGTCGGGACCCTTCAGCATCCAGCATCTGCGGTTCTTGCTTTAAATATAACGGTTCGGTTCTGGATTCAGGAAAAGTGAGCTAGCGTGGATTCTTACTTTCCTCCGTGAAAAAGAAAAGGCTGGAAGGTAACCTAATCGAGATCTTTATTTTATAAAATGAAATAACGGAGAATGTTTCCACTTGAGAAGCAGACTAGTGATTTTAAATAAGATAATTCACTAATACATCCATTGGAGTTTCTCACCTATAGAGTCGTGAGAATGTGGAACATGTAACCGCAAGTCATAGATCATAGCTTTTTTTAAAAGGGTAACTAGGCGAACATTTGGTACAAATTTCCCAAACAGTCACTTTTTCTATTCTGACTTGGAATTACATTTCTGTTCCTTCAGTATTGCTGGAACAACGTCCTGCAACTCTCTCTCTTTCTCGGATATTGTGGATGTACCTGCACCAGCTTGCTGCAGTTAAAGAAAGCAGCTTACCATCATCTTCTCAAGGGCAACTAGGGATGAGCACTTAATGTTGGTCTGGACTGCGGTGGCCACACCCTGTGAGTGAATTTAAAAAAAGAGGAGATTGGGTCTGTGGTCTAGATTACTATTCCGGTGATACAATGTTTTGGGTATAAGGGTTCAAATCCTCTATGCAGATAATGCAATTTTGAACTCGATTAAAAATCTCATTAAAAGCTAGTTTAGTGCAACAATTTGGTTTTATTATTATCACATATGCTGAGATATGGTGAAAGGTATTGTATAGTGTGCTAACCAGACAAGTCATACATAAGTACATCATGGTAATAGAAGTTTTACTGCTACCGAGAAGGTACAGAAAAAGAAACTTTAACATGAGACAACAAGGTGCAGGGCTGGATGAACACAGCAGGCCAAGCAGCATCATAGGAGCAGAGAGGCTGACGTTTTGGGCCTAGACCCTTCATCAGAAAAGGGGGAGGGGAAGGGGGTTTTGAAATAAATAGGGAGAGAGAGGGAGGCGGATAGAAGAGGGATAGAGGAGAGGATAGGTGGAGAGGAAACAAACAGGTCGAAGAGGCGGGGATGGGGCCAGGAAAGGTGAGTGTAGGTAGGGAGTTAGGAAGGGGATAGGTCAGTCCAGGGAGGACGGACAGGTCAAGGGGGCGGGATGAGGTTGGTCGGTAGGAGATGGAGGTGCGGCTTGAGGTGGGAGGAGGGGATAGGTGGGAGGAAGAACAGGTCAGGGATGCAGGGACGAGCTGGACTGGTTTTGGGATGCGGTAGGGGGAGGGGAGATTTTGAAACTTGTGAAATCCACATTGATACCATTGGGCTACAGGGTTCCCAAGCGGAATATGAGTTGCTGTTCCTGCAACCTTCGGGTGGCATCGTTGTGGCACTGCAGGAGGCCCAGGATGGACATGTCGTCTGAGGAATGGGAGGGGGAGTTGAAATGGTTCGTGACTGGGAGGTGCAGTTGTTTATTACGAACCGAGCGTAGGTGTTCTGCAAAGCGGTCCCCGAGTCTCCGCTCGGTTTCCCCGATGTAGAGGAAGCCACACCGGGTACAGTGGATGCAGTATACCACATTGGCAGATGTGCAGGTGAACATCTGCTTGATGTGGAAAGTCTTCTTGGGGCCTGGGATGGGGGTGAGGGAGGAGGTATGGGGGCAGGTGTAGCACTTCCTGCGGTTGCAGGGAAAAGTGCCGGGTGTGGTGGAGCTGGAGGGGAGTGTGGAGCGGACAAGGGAGTCACGGAGAGAGTTGTCCCTCCGGAAAGCAGATAAGGGTGGGGAGGGAAAGATGTCTTTGGTGGTGGGGTCGGATTGCAGATGGCGGAAGTGTCGGAGGATGATGCGTTGGATCCGGAGGTTGGTGGGGTGGTACGTGAGGACAAGGGGGATTCTTTTTTGGTTCTTATTGCGTGGACGGGGTGTGAGGGATGAGTTGCGGGAGATGTGGGAGACACGGTTGAGGGCGTTCTCGACCACCGAGGCGGGGAAGTTACGGTCCTTGAAAAACGAGGACAACTGAGATGTACGGGAGTGGAATGCCTTATCCTGGGAGCAGATGCGGCGGAGGCGAAGGAATTGGGAATAGGGGATAGCATTTTTGCAGGAAGGTGGGTGGGAGGAGGACTATTCTAGGTAGCTGTGGGAGTCGGTGGGCTTGAAATGAATATCGGTTTCTAGGTGGTTGCCCAATATGGAGATAGAGAGGTCCAGGAAGGGGAGAGAGGTGTTAGAGATGGTCCAGGTAAACTTAAGGTTGGGGTGGAAGGTGTTAGTGAAGTGTATGAACTATTCGAGCTCCTCGTGGGAGCACGAGGCGGCGCCGATACAGTCATCAATGTAACGGAGGAAGAGGTGGGGTTTAGGGCCGGTGTAGGTACGGAAGAGGGATTGTTCTACGTAACCTACAAAGAGGCAGGCGTAGCTTGGGCCCATGCGGGTACCCATGGCTACCCCCTTTGTCTGTAGGAAGTGGGAGGAATTGAAAGAGAAGTTGTTGAGTGTGAGGACGAGTTCGGCTAAGCGGATGAGGGTATCAGTGGAGGGGGACTGGTCGGGCCTGCGGGACAGGAAGAAGCGGAGGGCCTTAAGGCCATCTGCATGGGGAATGCAGGTGTAGAGGGACTGGACGTCCATGGTAAAGATGAGGTGTTGGGGACCGGGGAATTGGAAGTTCTGGAGGAGGTGGAGGGCGTGGTTGGTGTCACGGACATAGGTAGGGAGTTCCTGGACCAAGGGGGAGAAATTGAGTCTAGATAGTTGGAGATCAGTTTGGTGGGGCAGGAGCAGGCGGAGACAATGGGTCGACCAGGGCATTCAGGTTTGTGGATTTTGGGAAGGAGATAGAAGCGGGCAGTGCGAGGTTGGGGAACGATGAGGTTGGAGGCCGTGGGTGGGAGGTCACCTGAGGTGATGAGGTTGTGGATAGTTTGCGAGATGATGGTTTGGTGCTCAGGGGTGGGGTCGTGATCAAGGGGGCGGTAGGAGGAGGTGTCGGAGAGTTGGCGTCCGGCCTCGGCGATGTAGAGGTCAGTGCGCCATACTACAACTGCGCCTCCCTTGTCCGCGGGTTTTTTGGTGAGGTTGGGATTGGAGCGGAGGGCTGCACGTTCTGCAGGGGAGAGGTTGGAGTGGGTGAGAGGGGTGGAGAGGTTGAGGCGATTGATGTCTCGACGGCAGTTGGAGATGAAGAGGTCAAGGGAAGGTAGGAGGCCTTGGGGTGGCGTCCAGGAGGAGGGGGTGTGTTGGAAGCGGGAGAAGGGGTCAGTAGAGGGAGGGTTAGGTTCACGGTTAAAGAAGTAAGCGTGGAGGCGGAGGCGGAGGCGGCGGAAAAACTGCTCTATGTCCAAGCGTGAGCGATATTCGTTGATCTGTGGGTGGAGGGGGACAAAGGTGAGCCCTTTACTGAGGACTGACAGTTCGTCCTCAGTAAGGGGTAGGTCTGGGGGGATGGTGAAGACTCGGCAGGGCTGGGTGCTGCTGTCTCCTCTGGAGCTGCTGGCTGTGGAGGTGGTGGGCGGAGCTGCTGGCTGTGGAGGTGGTGGGCGGAGCTGCGTCGGCGTCGGCTGTGGGCGGAGCTGCGTCGGC